AGGTGGCTGCTGTTTAGGAACTAAAAGAAATAATTTTCTTCATTGATAAGAGGCAGAGAGATCAACCAGGTGTATATTCAGAGCTTTCCAAATATTGTAACTCTGGTGGAGTCAAAGAAGGCCTGGCATCAGGGTCAGAATTGCAAAATGCTGGCTGTTTGCCAAAAAAGCAAATAAAGCTGCAAAAATCCACACAAGGAAAGCAAGAGACAGTCACTCTGGGAACTTGGTTTCTAGTCATTGGTTGTTACCTGTCACCCTTTCTTCTGCCTTTGGATAAACACATCTGTTTTTTTCTGCCCCTACAAGCCATCTTTTGACTATGTCCCATTTCTCTCTGTCTCTGTCTCTCTCTGTCTCTCTATCTTTGTAGAAAGAGAGAGTGATCACAAGCGGGGGAGAGGGAGAGAATACCCTAGGCAGGCTGGAGCCCAGTGCCAAGCCTGACGTGGGGCTTAATCCAACAACCCTGGGAGATGATGACTGAGCCGAAATCAAGAGTCCTATAACTGAGCCACCCAGGTGCCCCTGTACCATTTTCAAGATAAACCTGGGCATATAAGAAAAAGAACAGGCCCTGTTTAGGAACTTAAAAATATTTCTCTTGCTGTTTACTGTTACCTAGAATAAATTTTTATTTAGGGGTGACTAGAGGCTAGTTCCATTTAATTCCATTTCTTGATGAACTCTTGGCCCTGTGGTTATTGAGACAAGTTATGTTTTTTAGCAGTGTAGCATTTATATCGAGAACCAGGAGAGATTGTTGAGTACATATATATCTGAGATGAGAAGCCGAGTCATTGTGTTCCAGGTAAAAAATTACCATCTTCAACTCAGCCTCCATACTATATGAAGAGTGTTGTGTCTATTGACATAAAGGAAAAATGTCAGTTCTTTGCATGTAGTTATTACTATCTCCTATGAAACTTAAGACACATCTCTAGTTGATTTGGTTTAGCCTTATGATATCATGGTAGAGAGAATTCTATTGCTCAGGGGCTTACTCAGTATAAGAGCTTTAGGATAGAACATTGGTCCCTTTCATGTCAGTCTGGAACTTAGTGCCGCCTTCTGAGAATTTTCATCAGTAATACAGTTTGGTGGCTCCTAGTGTGTTCTTGGGTTGGTTCACTAAATGATGAGTCACTTCTTGCTTCTATACCCCTCCTGACCACAGTGGATCAACATCTCCCTTGCTCTGTCTTCCTCCATCTCCAAGAATAAATCCTCTTTATTTTTTATTTTATTATAATTATTTTGTAAATTTTATTTGAATCCAAGTTTCAAGAGTAGAATTTAGTGATTCATCACTTACCCAGTATTCATCCCAATGAGTGTTCTCCTTAAGGCCCATCACCCATTTAGCCCATCCCCCCACCCAGTACCCTGCCAGCAACCCTCAGTTTGTTTTCTGTATTTAAGAGTTTCTTACGGTTTGCCTCCCTCTGTTTTTATCTTATTTTTCCTTCCCTTCCCCTATGTTAATCTGTTTTGTTTCTTAAATTCCATGTGAGTGAAGTCATATGATATTTATCTTTCTCTGACTTATTTTGCTTAGCATAATACATTCTAGTTCCATCCACGTTATTGCAAATGACAAAATTTCATTGTTTTTGATTGCTAAGTAATAGTGTGTGTGTGTGTGTGTGTGTGTGTGTTTGTGTGTGTGTGTGTGAGAGAGAGAGAGAGAGAGAGAGAGTGTGCATGTGCGTGCACGCACACGTGTATACCACATCATCTTTACCCATTCACCAGTCAATGGACATTTGGGCTCTTTCCATAATTTGGCTGTTGTTGATAGTGCTGCTATAAACATTGGGGTGCGTGTGCCCCTTCAAATCAGCATTTTTATACCCTTTGGATGAATACCTATTAGTGCAACTACCTGGTCATAGGGTAGCTCTATTTTTAATTTTTTTGAGGAACCTCCATACTGTTTTCCAGAGTAGCCACACCAGTTTGCATTCCCACCAGCAGTGCAAAAGTGTTTCCCTTTCTCTACATCCTCGCCAACGTCTGTTGTTGCCTGAGTTGTTCACTTTAGCCACTCTGACTGGCGTGAGGTGGTATCTCAGTGTGGTTTTGATTTGTATTTCCCTAATTATGAGTAATGTTGAGCATCTTTTCCTGTGTCCTGTTAGCCATCTGGAAATCTTCTTTGGAAGTGTCTGTTCTTGTCTTTTGCCCATTTCTTCACGGGATTATATGTTTTTTGGGTGTTGAGTTTGATAAGTTCTTTAGAGATTTGGGATATTAACCCTTTATCCAATATGTTACTTGCAAATATCTTCTCCCATTCTGTCGGTTGCCTTTTAGTTTTGTTGATTGTTTCCTTCACTATGCAGAAGCTTTTTATCTTGATGAAATGCCGATAGTTCATTTTTGCTTTTATTTCCCTTGCCTCCAAAGACATGTCTAGTAAGATTTTGCTGCAGCTAAGGTCAAAGAGTTTGTTGCCTGTTTTCTCCTTGAGGAGATGGCTTCTGTCTTATATGTAGGTCTTTCATCCATTTTGGTTTATTTTTGTGTATGGTGTAAGAAAGTGGTCCAGGTTCATTCTTCTGCATGTCACTGTCCAGTTTTGCCAGTACTACTTGCTGAAGAGACTGTCTTTTTTCCATTGGATAGTCTTTCCTGCTTTGTCAAAGATGAGTCCGCCATAAATGTGTGGGTCCATTTCTGGGTTCGCTGTTCTGTATGTGTCTGTTTTTGTGCCAGTATCCTACTGCCTTGCTGATTACAGCTTTGTAATACAGCTTGAAGTCTGGAATTGTGATGCCTCCAACTTTGGTTTTCTTTTTCAGTATTACTCTGGCTATTTGGGGTCTCTTCTGGTTCCATAAAAATTTTAGAATTGTTTGTTCTAGCTCTGTGAAGAATACTGGTGTTACGATGATAGGGATTGCATTGAATGTGTAGATTGTTTGGGGGTAGTATAGATTAAGTCCTGTTTAAACCAAAGTTTTGGTGCAGTTCTGTTTGTCACACTAGTAGCAAGTTGGTGATATGCCTGTGATGGAGCATTCTGACTAGAACACCAGAGGTGAGTACAGTGACCATGGGGATTTCCTCAATACTAAACTCAGAAAACTTGAGAATTGGAAGAAGAGTTTAGAGAACATCCAGTATAACTTCCTCATCTTACACAAGGGAAAATCGAGAATTGGTAAGGCAAAGTGACTTGCCCGGGGTCATGCAACCAATATCTGGTATAGGGGGCTCAGCTCCGTGTTGGTGCTCATCTCCTGTTGGTCTGCTTCTCTGTTCTTCCTGTGGCTTAGTTTTGGTCTTTGGCCTTTTGCCTCCTACCTCACATTATATGTCTAAGTAGCGATGATAAATAAACATGCTACAAAAATGATGAAACAGACCCAAGGAAGTGAGTGCATTAAAGGAGCATGTAAAAGTACCATCTCCCATCTTAAAGCTTCTAGCCAGCAAACATAGGATGGTAGATGTTTAGATGTTTTTGGTAAGTGGAAGGTTAGACATTATCATTGTTGTCAAATTTTTTTTGTGGGCAAAATGGAATGGCTATAAAATCTTCCCACCCTGCCATATATCATGTGTAGTGGCAGGACTTTTTCAGTCCTTTGAATCCCTACTTACTTGTAACACTTCTGAACTTTGTGCTTCTTAGACTGCTAGGACACTGCCCTTTGGTTCTCTTCAGACCTCTCTCCACTGTGCCTCATAATCTTTTTAGAGAACTCTTCTTTCTCTGCCAATTCCTTACAAGTTGATGAGTCCCAGATCTCATCCAGAGCTCTTGGCTCTCTCTTCCCATCATGTGATGCTACCACTTTTGTAGGTTCAGCTACCACCTGTATGCTAATGACTCCCCAGTCTAGGCTTTTGTCCCCAGCTCTGCTCCTGAGCTGCAAATACATACCTGACTGCCTAATGAGCACCTCTGTTCAGGCAGCTCACGTGTAACAGGCCAAAAGGGATCTCACTACTCTACTCTCACAAGTGAGTTCTATTTTTAATCCATTGGCCTGGTTCACCATTTACTCACCATTGACCTGAGTTGGAAACCTGGAAATCATTCTGGAGTCTTTCATTGGTAAGAGTCACTCACTTATAAGACTTCCTATTTTATTTCCTTTCCCACGTTCTACACTTTTTCCCCACCTGGCTACATGATTTATCCTGAAAGACTCAGCTGTCACCTTTCAGAGGTTCATCTTCAACAGGGACCCACTACAGTTAGGTTCTCATCCCCTACATTCCCAAATCCCTTATGTCTCTCTCTGTCTAATGTCACTTAGCATAGTGCATTTAACATTTTTTTAAAGTTTATTTATTTTTGAGAGAGACTGAGCATGCACCCATGTGTGCTCACATGAGCAAAGGAAAGGCAGGGAGAGAGAATCTCAAGCAGGCTCCACGCTGTTGGTGCAGAGCCCAATGCAGGGCTCAATCCCGTGAACTGTTAGATCCTGACCTGAGCCAAAGTCAAGACTTGGACGCTCAAAGAAATGAGCCACCCAGGCACCCCAGTACATTTAACATTCTGTTTATGAATCTGTCTCACCCATTGAACTGTAAGATCCTTGGAAGCAAACACTGTCTTACTCATCTTTCCATCTCTAGTGTCTGAAATAGTGCCTGGCATATAGAAAGTGTAGGATATATATTTGTTGAATGAATGACTATGACACTTATGAACTCCATTTTGAAAAGGAGTTATCTCTCCTAGAAAATGTTTGTAGGTATGGGGCACCTGTGTGGCTCAATTGGTTAATTGGTTAAGTGTCCAACTTCAGCTCAGATCATGTTCTCATGGTTTGTGAGTTAGAGCCCCGCATCGGGCTCTGTGCTGACAGCTCAGAGCCTAGAGCCTACTTTGGATTCTGTGTCTCCCTCTCTCTCTCTGCCCTGCTTGCACTCTCTCTCTCTCTCAAAAATAAATAAACATTAAAAAAGAAAAGAAAAGGAAATGTTTGTAGGTAGAAATTTGGATTTGCTAACCATTTCTTTTTCTTTATTTTCGTTAGATTAATGTGACGAAATCAGGTGGATCACCAGCCATCCCATTGCCCCCTTTGCTGGGGGGTGCTGAGAGTGGGGAAGCATGGAGGACAGTAAGAATGAGACAATGAATCGTGCTCACGTCCTCTTTGACCGGTTTGTGCAGGCCACCACCTGCAAAGGAACCCTCAAGGCCTTCCAAGAGCTATGTGACCACCTAGAGCTGAAGCCTAAGGACTACCGCTCCTTTTATCACAAGCTCAAGTCCAAGCTTAACTACTGGAAAGCCAAAGCCCTATGGGCAAAGTTGGACAAGCGGGGCAGCCACAAAGACTACAAAAAGGGAAAAGCATGCACTAACACCAAGGTAAGGGTTTGGCTTCTCCCAAGCCTTGGGATCACTGACCTAAGGATTTAACCAGAAAAGAATAGATTTTGAGTAGAGGTAGGCCAAAGAAAAGGATTGGGTAGAGGTAGACTGGGTGAGAACTAGGCAGAGTCTAGCCAAGACCTAGTAGAGAAAGTCCAACCTCTACCTTGTTGAAACTTTGTGGGTCCATTACCTGTGTTAAGTTGACTGTACCATTTCCCAGGCCCTATTCTTTTTTTTTTTTTTTTAATGTTTGTTTATTTATTTTGAGAGAGCACATATGTGTGTGTGCATGCACAAGTAGGGGAGGGACAGAGAGATAGAGACTCCCATGCAGGCTCCACACTCAGCACAGAGCCTGACATATGGCTTGATCCCATGAACTATGAGATTATGACCTAAGCCGAAATCAAGGGTTGGATGCTTAGCGCTTAACCAACTGAGCCACCTGGGCACCCCAGACCCTATTCTTATTTCATGTATTCACATACTGAACATTCAGGGTTTCAGCTATTTAAGAACAACCGTGAAATCAAGTGGTATAGGAATTTTTTTTTCCCCCTGAGGTTCTATTTTGAATCTCACATTATTAGGAGGATACAAGTCACTTAGCAAAGAAATAGCCATGCCCTGTTAGCATCCTATCTGCACATGCTTCGTGATGCCTGGCATGTCATGTTAATAAAGTCATCACAATTGACCGATAAGGTATAGATAGTATTTGCTAACTTGGGGATTTGCCACAAGCTTCAGACCTCTTTGCATCTGTATTTCAAAGATTTTTAAAAATTTTTTATTTATTTATTTTTGAGACAGAGATAGACAAAGTGTGAGTTTGGGGTGGGGGGAACAGAGAGAGAGGGAGACAGAATCCCAAGCAAGCTCCACGCTGTCAAGCACAGAGCCTGAGGTGGGGCTCAGACTCACAAACCATGAAATCCTGACCTGAGCCAAAATCAAAAGTCAGACACTTAACTGACTGAGCCACCCAGATGCCCCCAAAGATTTGTTTTGATAAGCAGGGGCCTTGTAAGCCATAATATTTCTTTTGGTTTCTTCACAATCTAGAGAAGTAGAGTTTTCATGAAACAGGGTAGATACTCAGGTACCTGTGTAGGGGTAGGTACAAGGAAGTGGAAAAGGAATAATATATTTCCTGCGCTCCTCCTTATGTGAAAACACCTTCTATGAGAAATTTGGAGAAGGCTAGCAGAGAAACAAGTTGCAGATGATTTCGTGACTAGATCATTAATGTCCTTTCATGAGCTTTACTTTGCCTTGTGTAGATACCTGGAAACCCCCTTCCAGTGTGTTTGCATTTGGGTAGATACTCATCAGCAAAATTTAGGAAATTCAGAGGCATGGCTTTGTGAGTTCTGGGGTTTTAGTATGAATAAAAGGAATTCAAACCTAGAAACATTTTATGACTTTTTTCCTTCTGTGAATAGAGTACACGTTAGTTAAGTGTCCATTCTCACCCTGAGTACTTTCTACAATAAGGGTTTTTTAAGATCATTCCCTGGACTTTTGGTCTAAAGATGGTGATTTTAGAACTCTTTTTAGGACATAAAACTTTGGCTCTTGAAAGTTGCCTTCTAGAAATTCTTGAGTAGTAGACTCATTCCAGGACTCTTAAGATTGCCTGAACTATGTATTTAAATAATCTCTGTCTCCTTGGATAGAAATCTGCTTGACTTAGAAACCTCTCAGAAGGTCCTCTCCTGTCAATTAAGGTGACATCTGATTTTCATATCGTTTGTTGAAATGAAGACCTACTTCAATATAATGCAGATCTACAAGGTGAACATGTGCTGGGTTTATGTCCAGCACTGACAGTTAAGAGTCTCCTGTATCCATAGCAATCACCAGCTTTTCTCTCAAGCCATTGCAGGTGGTCTCCTATGACCCACGTGGGTCCAAAGATTTCTTGGGAGAATAGCCCTGTTTGGCGGCTTTGGGGAATGATGGTTACATGATCATGAAACTCTAATAGAAATGTGAACTTTCCTAAGAGGTGCTCCCTTTGCCCTGAAAGCAGCTGTGTTTTTCAGTGTCTCATCATTGGAGCTGGCCCCTGTGGTCTCCGTACAGCCATCGACTTATCCTTATTGGGCGCTAAAGTGGTTGTTATTGAGAAACGAGATGCCTTCTCCCGCAACAATGTCTTGCATCTCTGGCCATTCACCATACATGATCTACGAGGTCTGGGTGCCAAGAAGTTCTATGGCAAGTTCTGTGCTGGAGCTATTGACCATATCAGTAAGTAAAACCAGTTCTCCTATAGGATCTCACCCATACCCCTACCCACTTGTTCAGTAAAAAGAGGCAGATTGAGGAATTCATACTCAACCAGGCCTGTTTGTTCTGATATCATTAGTACCTAATGTATAGAAAATACACTCTGCTTGGAGTCAAAATACCTGTGTTGCAGTGGTCTGTAATCTAGGACTCTTAACTTGCAAGTGTTATCTTCTATGAAATGAGGTTAGCTTAAGGATTTCTAAAGTTAGGTCTTGAACTCTTACTGAGCACTTGCACTGGATGGGATCAGCATCAGGGCCAGGCTAGGAAATACTACCAATTTGAGCCTTGACCCTTCAGTGATTCTTAGTCCAGTGGAAGAAGCACAAAGCATGAGGCTCTGTCTAATGTGATATGATAGATACTCTACTATTGTAAGAGCAAAATCCTATGGGGGTGCATTCCTGGAAAAACCACCGTTATAGAAGCAGCCTCCTAGTTTTGTCATGAATGGCAAGTCAGTAATGAAATTCATTTGGTTAGGTGATTCTTATAAGGTCTACAGCCAGGATAGCTCCTGCTGTATTTTTGTCATGTCCAAGCTCAGCTTGGGCCCATGCTTTTCCCTATAGAGAAAATACAAGTTAATGCAGACATTGATTTGATTATATTGTCATGACTGTTAAGCAGCCTATCTGAAAAGTGATTCAAAATAGATGACGTCTACATTATGAAGTTCAGGTCTTATTTATTGATCACCGTTAATGATTCCAGGAAAGCCTTATCAAGGAAGTTTTGTTCTGAGCTCCTCCAGATGTGTCCTGCAAAAAACATCAAACTGCTTAACTTTTGCTGTTTGAAGCAGTTGTGCCAACTTTTCAAACATTGGCCAACAGCTGACACATTCCACTGGCAGAGGAAGTGCTCTGCCCATCTGTTGGCTATAATATGTAAAGCATCTTGGAATCCGGTTGTCTGCAAATATTAAATATGTGCTAGAATGGGATTTAATGAGCCTTTAGGAGTGTGACTCAGAAGGGTGGTGGTGGTAGTAAGCAGGGGAAAATAACCAAGATGGCTTAGATGAGGATTTGCATGTACCAGCTTAGTCAGACGCTGCAGGTGAGTTTGGTCTTAAGAGAGGACCAAGGGTCATTTGATTCAGTGGATTTGTCTGCCTTATGTAGGATTTGCCTTGGAGCTGAGAGAGTTCTACATTATGGATAGATTTTTATCTTACCACTTGGTAGTCATGTATTGGTCATGGAATAAATAAATAAATCTCATTGTGGTAAGAGCAAGATTTCCAATTATTTTGAGCCTTAGTTTCTGTACTTGCAGACCAGAGGTGGGAGGGGGAATGAATGGTAAGAGATTAAGGTTTCCCCTTCTTACTTTATAAGAGTAAGCGAAGATCAGTGAGGTAATAGGATGAAAGGGAGATGCTGTGGAAATCTCAAAAAGTAGTGCAGCCCCTTTTTATTAGACTGGAGAGCCCACCTGTGATAAGTACTATGTCCTGTTGGGATTATAGATTCTGTTAGATGACTATAGCTCTGACTGAATTAGGGAAAGATGGAAAAGAGGACTCTATTGTCCACAATCTCTGTTGTCTCAGGGCTTTTGGTGGTTTTGATACAACTTTTTTTTTTTTTTAATGTTTTTTATTTATTTCTAGGAGACAGAGAGAGAGAGACAGCATGAGCAGGGGAGGGTCAGAGAGAGAGGGAGTCACAGACTGAAACAAGCTCCAGGTTCTGAGCTGGCAGTCAGCACAGAGCCTGATGCGGGGCTTGAACCCACGAACAGCGAGATCATGACCTAAGCGAAAGTCGGTCGCTTAACCGACTAAGCCACCCAGGCGCCCCTGGTGGTTTTGAACACCTAACCCAAGAGGTGGGAATGACCTTGCATGTCTTTCTAGAACATCTCTTGCACAGAATTATATTTGCCCTTAAAAAAGAAAGAAAGATGCTGTAAAGCATGGCTTGGAAAATACTTCCAGCTACAGAGGCTTTGAGAATCTGAGTAAACTGTGTAGGTGGGCAGATGAGTGCCTGAGCAGTAATCGCTGACTAGTGCTCTTTTCAGTGTGGCCTCACTAGTATGATCTTTTTGTTCCCCCAGGTATCCGTCAGCTTCAGCTAATACTTTTGAAAGTAGCCTTGATCCTAGGCATTGAGATCCATGTCAATGTGGAATTCCAAGGTCTTGTACAGCCTCCTGAGGACCAAGAAAATGAACGTGAGTTAGATTGGACCATAAAGAAGGGATAAAAGGGTATTGAGTGGGTGAGAAAAGATGAAATCAAGCGAGAAAACTACAAGAATCTCTGGGTTGTATTCAGAATTAGTTAAAGAGGCTTCTCCAGGTGTACAGACTTATCTTTTGAGGAACTTTTGGCTTAATGAGGAGGCCTTTGTTGCAAACACTTGTATTCGTTATTACAAATCATATGATGGGGAACATTCCTTTGTGAGCCTTCTTCAAGGCTTCTTTTTTTTCTGTGGTTTGTACCCATGCTTTCACTCCTAGTGTTTTCAGTTTGGGGTTTTGTGCAGTCTGCCTTTGGTACCTAAAGGTTTCTTATGTGTATGAATATGGTGTGGTGATGACTTTCATTTTGACTTTGGTCCACAGGGATAGGTTGGCGGGCACTGGTCCACCCCAAAACCCATCCTGTATCAGAATATGAATTTGAAGTGATCATTGGAGGGGACGGCCGTAGGAACACCTTGGAAGGTATTGGTCAATGCCCCTTTGCCTGGTTCATAACAGAGGGAAGGTTGACCCTCTCCCAACCCTGGGGTGTGAGTTTGTGTCATCAGAAACCACACTCCTAAGAATCATCATATGTGTGCTGATAATACTAACTGAATGGCCCAGGCTTCCACTAGCCAACTGGTACTTGGTTATTTCTTACAGGACATTCTGGTTAGGGCACTAGGAGACCAGCTGTACTTTAAATGGTTGACACTACAGGATTAAATATAAGTTTAGTAAGCTGGTGGCTTTGTGTTTCTCCATTCCCCTCCTCTCCCCTCCCCTCCCCTTTCCTTCCCTTTGGAATTCTTTGCACTAAGTAGTATTCTGGTCATTTAGATTTCAAATTGCTTGTTAGTATGGGGGAGACTTTGACTTCTTTCCTGAATTCTTATTTTTTGTCAGGTAAACACCTTATTTTCAGATAGAGAAGAATTGCCCTAAAATTTTTCCATGGATTCCCGTTCCTCATGTTCCTTAATGTCTTCATAAGCATCCCTTTCTGTTTGAAGTGATCTTCCTTCTTCCCTAGCTAGCTGTGGCCACCTCTGAAAAATGTCTTTCCTTCTAGGATTTCGCCGAAAAGAATTTCGTGGCAAACTGGCAATTGCTATTACAGCAAATTTTATTAACCGAAATACAACAGCAGAAGCCAAAGTGGAAGAGATCAGTGGTGTGGCTTTTATATTCAACCAGAAATTTTTCCAGGAACTGAGGGAAGCCACAGGTTGGTATAGAAACCTCCAAAGCAGTAAAGATAGAAATTTAAATAACTGCTTATGATTCTTCTCTTGGAGGGTTTGGTAGAGTGGTGGGTGGTCGTTGCTGTTGTTGCTCGTTTGCCCCTCTGCTATTTCTTCACATCTATACTAAGAACATGACTTAGTATAATGCTTTCCTTATCACTGTCTCCTACTCTAGAGTTTTTTATCTCCCTTACAGTGACAGGGCTGCTCTGGGTTTAGTTTTTATTTATTTATTTATTTATTTATTTATTTATTTATTTTTTAAGGGTTCATTCTGGGGCGCCTGGGTGGCTTAGTCGGTTAAGCGTCCGACTTTCGCTTAGGTCATGATCTCACGGTTCGTGGGTTCGAGCCCTGCATCGGGCTCTGTGCTGACTGCGAGCTCAGAGTCTGGAGCCTGTTTCAGTCTGTGACTCCCTCTCTCTCTGNGCTCAGAGCCTGGAGCCTATTTCAGTCTGTGACTCCCTCTCTCTCTGGCCCTCCCCTGCTTACACTGTCTCTCTCTCTCTCTCTTTCTCTCTCTCCTAGAAATAAATAAAACATTAAAAAAAAAAAAGAGTTCATTCTGCCTGCTATCAACTCTTCTCCAAGCCTTTCCCCTATGTTATGGCTCTAAGTGATGGTGCTCAATGCAGTAAACTATTGGTTGATAGTTCTCTGGTTCATTGAGAACCTGACTTTAGACACTAAGTATAGAGTCTTGTGTTCCAGTTTGGGCATGAAGTAAAACATGTGCTAGATAGGAATGAGGTTGTTGTGTGATAACTTTTGAATACATTAACCTAGATATTATATTTTTGCTGCAACAAAAACGTGCAGCAAATTCCAATTCCATTTTCTAGAACATGATTTCTTTCCATTAATTACATCTACATTTTAGATTAATTAAATTAAAAAGTCAGTAGTTCACACTCTGCTTCTAGGCATCTAGTTGTCCTATTAATGGCCAAAGAGATTGTCCTACTTGCCTGGGAACCAACCCAGACCCTCTTACTAGAAGTTAGCCTTTCTTTTTCTTCAATTCCTTATATTTCTGCTTACTATTCATGGTTTTAGGATACCTTAGGGTATCAAGTGAATTATAGAGTAGTGTAGGTATAAAACAAAGCTCCCCTTCTTCTCATGAACTGAACATTCAGGAAGTGAGAATCTGGGCTCAGACATCTCTTTATTTTCATGTTCTCTGACTGGAGTTTTACAGCCCTTTTTTCTGTGGACCCGTGTATAACTTTCTGGCTGCCCTCATGTACCTTCATTTCAGCAAGCCCTCATGTAACACATTTGTTTTCTGGTTGCAGGTATCGACTTGGAGAATATTGTCTACTACAAAGATGATACACACTATTTTGTTATGACAGCTAAAAAGCAGAGTTTGCTAGACAAAGGGGTGATATTGCATGTGAGTAACGTATTCTTTCAAACCTCTTTTTATTTCATACTAGTTAATGTGACCACTAAGGGAAAGAATTTTATTGTCTGATGAGTTTTTCCTTCAGGGGCATGAAGATGAGCATCCACTTCATCTCCTGGGAACATGAATTCCTCTAATGTTTTTTAGTTTAACTTAAAAAAAGAACCTCTCGTCATGGAAATTTTCAAATGTAAATAAAAGTAGAGAGAATCATATAATGATCCCCCATGTGCCCATTTTCTAGCTCTAACAATTATGTGGCCAATATTATTTCAGTAGTACCCCAGCCCACTGCCCACTCCTGCCATTGGATTGTTCTAAAGCAAATCTCAGATATCAGTTATCTCTGATACTAAGTTTAATTTTAGGTGATTTGGTTTGTGGTTAGAGTTAATTCTATGTATGACTGATTATTGGTTGGTTAATAGGTTGTCTTTTTGGGAGAGGGTGGCAGGCGGAAGGGAGTTTGACCTGGAAGCCGGAGAATGGTTCTGTTTTCCTGCAGATACAGGTAGAAGTCTAGGGAACACTGACTAGATCAGGGTATATTTTGACCTCTTCATGACCTAACAATGATGAGAGGTCTGGCTCAGCCTTTTTTCCAGGTGGATAATTGTAGGACGTTCCCTGAAATGATGAGCAGAACATGAAATCAGAGAACCACAGAGTAGTGGCTCTTTAAGGAGAGTTTCTTAAGTCTTATTTGCTCTTCAGTCTGAATCAGAATTACTATCCCCATGTGATGAAATGGATAGAAGAGGCACCAGATGTGCTGATTCAGGCCTGTACAGTTCTTACCACAGACTCATGGCTGAATTTCAGGGTGCCTTTTGTCTTTTCAGGATGATAATGAATCAAGTCACTGAATTACACTGTTGCCTTATCTGAGAACAGTGTTGGGGATTTGCCAGTAAGCATGTGCCTACAGCACAGTCTCTTTTCCATTCATGGACCTTATATCTGTTTCTCTGCCTTGTGTTCCTTTAGGTATATAAGCAGAAATAGGGCAAAGCAGTTTGTACAGCCCATTCTGCCAAAAAACATAAGCTAGATAAACTTGGTTGGATGCTTTATCAGGAAGAAATAGCCAATGAACCTGGCGGTATGCCTTGGGACTAAGTTAAGATAAATCTACGATCTTAGGCAAAACTAAGTTGAAATTACAGGCATACTTTGTTTTGTTGTGCCTCACAGTTACTGCTTTTTTTTTTTTTTTTTTTTTTTTTTTTTACAAACTTGTGGCAACCCTGCACTGAGCAGGTCTATCGGTGCCATTTTTCCAACAGCATTTTCTCATTTCATGTCTCTGTGTCATATTTTGGCAATTCTCACAATATTTCAAACATGTTCATTATATTTGTTATGATGATCTGTGATCAGTGATTACAACTTGCTAAAACCTCTAATAATGGTTGCCATTTTTTAGTTAAGGTAGGCTGGTTTTTTTTAGACAAATGTTATTCTACACTTAATGGACTACAGCATAGTGTAAACATAACTTCTATGTACGGGGAAGCCAAAAAAATTCATTTGACTCGCTATATTGCAATATTCACTTTATTGCAGTGGTCTGGAACGGAACCTGCAGATTCTCCAAGGTATGGCTATATGTAGGAATAATCTTGCTTGTCATTTATTTTTTTAGAGGGCAGGGGCCATGTTTCTATGTGTGCTGCTAAGTACTAAGTATGGTCATTTACTTAATGTTGAGCAAACACTGTTTCAAGGACCAACTTGAGTATTTGTGTTTTGACTTTTAACATCCTGTAGTGCTAGCTAAAAACACCATCAGGGACATTGGGAAACAAACCTTGGGCCCCACGTTAGAAGAGTAAAGATTTGGCTGAGCCAGGAATCCCCAGAACAGAAGAAGAGTTTTTCAATTCTTTATGTGGAAAGCCTTTTTCCTCCCCTCATTGTTTTTCTTTGTCGGTGGGTTTCTCTGAAGCCTTTTGGAATCTTATCTATTATTTTGAAAACCTCTGTTCCATTTTCAACTTCTTTCTTCCCAGCCCCCTGGAGTGCTGTTGCTCCCACATTATATTTTTGGCACTAGAGCTTTTGGGTGCTCCCTTTGCATTTGATAAATTATGCAATGCTGAATATTGCATATGGTCCCAGTTGCCAGAAGCTATTTGCTACCCAGAAGATAATGATTGCCAATAATAACATAAATTATAAAATATCTTTTCAGTTTAGAAAGTACCATCACATAAATTATTTTATTTGGTATTCAAAACAACTCCAGGAAATGGATTGGGCAAAATCAAAGAACTATGACTTGCTCCAAGTAAATGGAAACAGTAGGACTGTTTTTAGGTGCCAGAGCCTGTGCTCTTTTATTTAATTTAAAAATTTTTTATGAGAGAGAGAGAGAGAGAGAGAGAGAGAGAGAGAGAGAGAATACGAGCAGGGGAGGGGCACAAAGAGAAAGGGAGACACGGAATTTGAAGCAGGCTCCAGGCTCTGAGCTGTCAGCACAGAGCCTGATGCAGGGCTCAAATTCATGAACTATGAACTATGTAATCATGACCTAAGTCGAAGTCAGACGCTTAGCCGACTGAGCCACCCAGGTGCCTCAAGCCTGCGCTCTTTTAGAAACAGCCTCCCCACCCTGAGGTGCCTGGATGGCTCAGTCAGTTAAAGTCCAATTCTTGATCTGAGCTCAGGTGTTGATCTCAGGGTCATGAGTTCAAGCCCCATGTTGGGCCCTGTACTGGGCATGAAGCCTCCTTAAAGAAAAAAAAGAAAGAAAGAAACAGCCTCCCATTTTTCCCTTTAAGTTGTGTAGAAGACTTATTTGGGGATATGAAGTCACTTTAAGAAGAAAGGAAAGGCTGTGAAACTAGCTTATGTCTGACATGTTTAGTGTAGCTCTTGCTGGGCTTTTCTTTCAAGCCTTTTCTTTCTCTGGAGACAGGACTATGCCGACACAGAGCTCTTGCTTTCCCGGGAGAATGTGGACCAAGAGGCTCTACTGAACTATGCCAGGGAGGCGGCGGACTTCTCCACTCAGCAGCAGCTGCCATCTCTGGATTTTGCCATCAATCACTATGGGCAGCCTGATGTGGCCATGTTTGATTTCACTTGTATGTACGCCTCTGAGAATGCTGCCTTGGTGCGGGAACAGAATGGACACCAGTTATTAGTGGCTCTGGTTGGAGACAGCCTCCTAGAGGTGAGTAGTAAGGATGGCAGCACTTTATAATAGAGACAGTAGTAAGGAAGCAATAATAATCAGGAGCAAATGTGAGTATCCCAGGTTGTAGAGTGAGGGTCTACAACGTGGTACAGCATAGGTCAACACCAGGAAGGAGGGAAGGATTATAGGCTGCAGAGAATCCAGACTTGCTAAGTATGGATGGAAATTCTGCCGCTGTTGTGATTTGCCCCTCTACCAGTTTATGAAGTGGGAAAGCCCAATATCCTAGCAGTTGCCCAAAAGTACTATCAAAGGCATACTTTTTCTTTGTTTCTCAGTTTAGTTTCCCTCTTTTAAAATATAATTTATTTAATCCTTCATTTTCTATCTCCTTCATAGCCTTTTTGGCCAATGGGAACAGGAATAGCCCGGGGCTTTCTAGCTGCTATGGACTCTGCCTGGATGGTACGAAGTTGGTCTCTAGGAACAAGCCCCTTGGAAGTCCTGGCCGAGAGGTAATGGAGAGCAGCTAGGGTCTCCTCCGCGAGAAAACTGGGAGTGGCGCATGGTTTGCCCCTCAGGCAGGCTACAGGTTTTCTTGCTTCTCTCTCTCTTCCTGTCTTAATTGAAGATGCTTTCATACTAAAGAAAGGAAAGGCAAGATATTTATTTATAAAATCATAGGTATGTAAAGATTTTTTAATCTAAGTGCTCTTCTTTTATTCCTTTTCAGATTAAATTTGTTAACTGACAAATGGTATCTGCATCTTTGAATTCCATTAAAGGACAGTATCTGATTCCTTTGTGACAGTCACATGAACAAATACATAAAAATAGTACTTATAGTAATTAAATCTCTGTCAAAGTAGAAAGACTTAAACTAATGAAATCAGTGCAGTAGCAGGGGACATACTAACATAAGAAAAGAAATAAAAAGTGACTCCAAAATCAAAAGAAAACCCCAAACCACTTGTAAACATTTCTCAAACTCCCAAATGTCAGATATTACAAAAGAGGTAAGAATCCTAGGATTTATTTGCTAATAAAGAACAAATGCCTTGACCAGAAGAACTAGAGAAATAAGATTTCCTGGGTACAGTTGGTGGTTGATAGCATTTTAAGTCTGTTACTTTAAAAAAAAAATTTTTTTTTTACATTTATTTATTATTGAGAAAGAGACAGAGCATGAGCAGGGAAGGGGCAGAGAGAAAGGGAGACACAGAATTGGAAGCAGGCTCCAGGCTCTGAGCTGCCAGCACAGAGCCCAGTGCAGGGCTTGAACCCACAAACTCAGATCATGACCTGAGTTGAAGTCAAACGCTTAACTGACTGAACCAGCCAGGTGCCCCTAAGTCTGTTACTTAAGGTACTTTGGGCAAGTTTGGGAGTAAGTTCTTAAAAATTAAATATTGGCCTACTTGAAAAAACAAAACTAAACAATAAATTAGTTGCCTTTTAAATTAGGATCAGGGTTTGTATCCCAGCCTCCCACAGTGTATTTGTTCTTGCTCCCAGCCCTTAACCAGTCCAGTGCAATGTGGAATCACTGACGTGGTGGGAATGGGAGTAGGGGCTGATGTAGATTTGGAGAAAAAATGGCTAAGGATGAGGATTTGTCCTATCCTTCAGATTATTCAGGGCACTGTAAAAAAAACAGGAATGTTATCAAAGGAGAGGGAGGGCTATATGGTGCTGTCACTGCTCTAAGTAAATACTGTATGTTATTGCAGGGAAAGTATTTATAGGTTGCTGCCTCAGACCACCCCTGAGAATGTGAGTAAGAACTTCAGCCAATACAGCATAGACCCTGTCACCAGATATCCCAATATTAACGTCAACTTCCTCCGCCCAAGCCAGGTAAGCTCCTAGTCAGTTATCTATGTCTGGGTCCATTTCAGGACTGATCAGACCTCTGAAACACTGCAGTGTGTCTCATAGTACCATATACACACCCTTCTTTCATAATGCACGTGGATGTCTCTCTGGAATGACTGAAGGTAGGTATCCCTTTCCATCAACAGATTGAGCAGCAAAGGGAGAGAGTTGTTGATGACTTGCTGGAACGTCACATGTGACAAAAATAATGAACCCAGGACTTTATCCCGTGCCTCCTAGTTCAAATTGCATGTTGTAGGGGTAGAGCGTGTGTTCACTGCTCAGGAAATGTGACTTCCACTTGTATTATTGGCACCAATCACTTGTGACTTGGATATGTCATGTCATTCTCTCTGTAAAATGGAGATAAAACCCCCTGCTATTCACAGGATCATTGTGAGGGCAAATGAGATTATTCACTTGAAAGAACTTTAAAAGTTAGGACATTGTCTGCAAGTAAAAGATACTGTTGGTCAATTTTTTTGTGCTACGGAGTTATTTCTCAGAATATCTACAGCCTTATAATCACATTGAGAATGACATTTTACAAAGCACAGTAGTCCCAAAGAGCCCAGCAATTTTTAGAAAGCAGTCCATTCAACATATTTGCCTATGTACTTGTATAATTTTTTATTCACTTTCTACCTGAAGTTTATAGCTTCAAGCCTTCTATATACTTCTGTAGAAGAGGACCATGAGACCTGTTGTCAATGGACAGCATCAGTGCCCTCTGATAGTGACTGTCAGAGGGCCCTCCATGGCTGGAGAGCTAATTTTTAGCACTTTTTTTTTTTTTTTTTTTTTTGAGAGAGAGAGAGACCATGATCGAGGAAGGGACAGAGAGAGAGAATCTCAAGTAGGCTCCACACTGTTAGCACAGAGCCCGATGCGGGGCTCAAATTCACAAACCTGAGATCATGACTTGAGCTAAAACCAAGAGTCTGACACTTAACCAACCAGCCTGACACTTAAGCCCCCCAGGTACCCTAACTTTTTTTTAATGTTTATTTGTTCATTTTGAGAGAGAGAGCAAGAGCAAGCATAAGAGGGAAACGGACAGAGAGAAAGAATCCCGAGCAGGCTCCTCACTGTCAGCATAGAATCAGATGTCGGGCTCGAACCCATGAACCTTGAGATCATGACCTGAGCTGAAATAGTCAAATGCTTAAACTTTAACCAACTGAGCCACTCAAACACCCCAGAGCACAACTTTTTACAACTAATATGTATTTGTTTATATGTAAATCCCACCACATTCCAGAAAGGATTTAAAGGTCATTTTCGTAACTTTTATCTGAACTTTGCCCAACCTGCTATCTGTCTTTCATTTTGCTCTCTGGTGGGAACTTGTTACTTGGTGTTTGATTTTTCCTCTTTACAACTTTTTAACTTTCTGCCAGGTGCGCCATTTATATGATACTGGAGAAACAAAAGATATTCATCTGGAAATGGAGAACCTAGTGAATTCCCGAACTACCCCAAAGTTAACTCGTAATGGTGAGTTCTGGTGATGCCCTTTTAAAAATACTGTTTTTAATGTTTATCTATTTTTTAGAGAGAGAGAGAGACTGAGCGTTAGTGGGGGAGGGGCAGAGAGAGAGAGGGAGACACAGAATCCGAAGCAGGCTCTAGACTCTGAGCTGTCAGCACAAAGCCCAATGCAAGGCTCAAACTCACAGACTGGACCTCAAGACCATGACCTAAGCCAGAGTCAGACTCTTAAATGACTGACTCACCCAGATGTCCCAAGGTAATGATCTTTGAAATGTAAGTAACCTATTCAGAGAAGTCATTACTGAGCTGTTGGTGTGTACAGTACTGTATAAGGCAGTAGTTCTCAACCAGAGGTGATTTTGCCCCTCAAGGGGCATTTGGTAGCGTTTGAAGACATTTTTGATTGTCATGACTAGGGGAGGGTGCTGTTGTCATTCAAGGATGCTGCCCAACCTCCTGTAGGGCACAAGGAGTCAGCTCACCACAATAAAGAATTATCCAGCCAAAAATGTCAGTAATGTCAAGGCCGAGAGCCCTCAGTCTAAGGTTTTAGGGGGATATAAAGAGAAACCAGATACAAATGCTGTTGAGAGAGAGAGGAGTGAATGTGCACACACACCAACTAAGGTTTCTGGGGAAGGCTTTATGAAGAAGCAGTGCCATTTAGCTGAGTACTATGACATTGCCAGGATACAGTTGTCAAGATAAAGACCATGTATTTTCTGTGTCGTGAAGAGCCCCTGGATTTTTTTTAAAAGAAGAGCAACATGAATATGCCTGGTCAGCTGCATGTAAGATGGGATGGAGAAGGGAAATGCCAGAGGCAGGGGAACTAGTTAGAAGTACATTGCAGTGGTGACTGCGTGCTCAGTCTGTTGAGTGTCTGACTCTTGGTTTCAGCTCAGGTCATGATCTTACACACAGTTCATGGATTTGGACCTCATGTTGGGCTCTGCACTGATACTGCAGAGCCTGCTTGGGATTCTCTCTCTCTCCCTCTCTCTCTGCCCCTCCTTCGCTCATACACATGCATTTTCTCTCTCTCTCTCTCAAAAATAAAAATAAACTTTAAAAAAAGAAATACAGGGGGCTGCCTGGGTGGCTCAGTTGGTTAAGAGCCCAACTTTGGCTCAGGTCATGATCTCACTGTCCGTGAGTTCAAGCACCGCATTGGGCTCTGTGCCGACAGCTCAGAACCTAGAGCCTGCTTCAGATTCTGTGTCTCCCTCTCTCTCTGCCTTTCCGCCTCTCATGCAGAAAGAAAGAAAGAAAGAAAGAAAGAAAGAAAGAAAGAAAGAAAGAAAGAAATACATTTTAGTAGTCAAGCTAATGGTGGTGAAGGCCTAAATCTGATAATTGATGTTGAAGACGGACAAGTCCATGGAACATGGTTAGAAGAACTCTGACTTTGGGGCCAGGTGCAATGGAGTCCCAGTCCGAGCTCTGCCATTTATTTGTAAAGTGTGTGTGCAAGAATGGGTTGTTTTGCATCTGTGAACTTTGGTTTCCTTGTCTGTGAAATGGGCGTAACAAATACTCCACACCGTAGTCATGAGGATTCTATGGCATGTATACAATATTTATTACAATGTCTGGCATATACCAGGTGGTCATAAATGGCAGCCATTTTGTCATTGTCATTATTAATTACGTTAGAGAGCATGAATCAATAGGCATTGGCAGTTTGGTTGCATTATGGGTCAAGAGATCATTGTAGATGGTGCTGCCATCAGTTTGGAGAGGGAAGTGGGAGGATGAGAAAAGTTTGACATGGTATTGGGATATCAAAGTGGACATCACAACCAGCAGGCAGTTGGAAACATTTTCATCTAAGCATACAATACACCTATGTCATTGTCATTTTAGGGCCTAGAATATTGAAGTTGACTAATACATGTTGGATTGATGGATATACAGACTTGGGAGACATCAGAATAAAATTAATTTATGAGGGGCACCTGGGTGGCTCAATCGGTTAAGCGTCCGACTTTGGCTCAGGTCATGATATCACAGTTTGTGGGTTCAAGCCTTGCATCGGGCTCTGTGCTGACAGCTCAGAGCCTGGAACCTGCTTGGGATTCTGTGTCTCCCTCTCTCTCTGCCCCTCCCTTATTCATGCTCTGTCTCTGTCTCTCTCTCTCTCTCTCTCTCTCTCTCTTTCAAAAATAAACATTAAAAATTTTTTAAAAATTTATGAAATAAATTTCTGATTTACAATAATAACACTAGGAGTGGTTCTCTGTGTAGTTTTCGGATACATTTTCACTGAAAGACTTAAATAGGATTTTTATGATACCGCAGTTTTTACCTTAAGTTCCCAAATCACTAAAGGACTTTGTAGAAGGTTAGGTATTTCCAGTTGGTAAAAGTAAGAGAGCAGATGTTCTTGGATACAAATAGAAGTTCACAGCTTCTTCTAAGTGCTTCATATCAGAGCTTCTCAGATGCAGTTTACAGATTTATATAAGGCACAGCAATGAGCTGGAAAACATCCAAGTATATGTGTTCTTGTATTCACCTTTTCAAGATGTGCTCATTTATGATAGAGTGCCGAGCCTGACCTGAGGGATTGTTCTGGTCTGGGGTCCTTGGCCTTGCCAATATAATCCTACAGAACTTCTTCACTTGGCAAATTGCTCTGTACTCTGGAAGTTGTAAGAGTGGGCTCTGTTTGCCTTCATTTAATGTGTTGCTAGAGCAAATGGAATCTTTTCTGCTTTACTCTCTGTCAGTATTACTTTGAAGGGAAGGAGCTTCTTCCGCTAGCCGCCAAGCAACTCTCCAGGGAAATCTTAGAACTTCTTCTGCAAGTGAGGGTTACAGCTCAGTAGATGGCGCTGTTCCATCTAAGTCCGTATCAAAGAATGCGACAATGACACTGGGCTTTCCATGAGCAGGGCCAGAGAACCCCTGTTGTGACTGGCATTGACCTCAGAGTCTGGGTAAATTGGTAGTTTCTTATCTACCTAAAATTCCACTTTCATGATACCAGTTTCATAGCTTCTTACTATTGAAAGCCAGTAACAGCTGTTTTGTCCCTGCCTTTAGTAATTGTTCAAATTGGGCATGTGTATTGCACAGAGGATCCTGTATCAGTGCTACCAGGTGACCACACTTCTGATATATTTTTTTATTGTTTTAGAGTCTGTAGCTCGTTCAAGCAAACTACTGGGTTGGTGCCAAAGGCAGACAGATGGCTATGCAGGGGTAAATGTGACAGATCTCACTATGTCCTGGAAAAGTGGACTGGCTCTGTGTGCAATCATCCATAGATACCGCCCTGATCTGATGTAAGTTGTGACAAACTTTGTGTTTTATTTTGTATTTCCTAAGCATCTCAATTTTGCTATAAATAGCCAAATTGTTTACTTTTTCCTAGAATGAGTTACATAGCAAGATACTCTAGAAGACAGTGATTAATTTTGATTTTGTTATATTTAAAAACTGTTTGTCAAACATCATGTAGCTGAATCCAGGTGAGATTTTAAAATCACAGCACTCAGAAGGTCAAAAACTGGTTTTAACACCCACCTGGACCTATTTACATCACACAAAGGAAAACTCTGTTTATTGGCCCCCGGTTGAACTTTTCATTTCAGCCAGCTATCTCTCAAATGCTATTGGGCGTAAGGAGAACCTCACTAGAACATTTGGCTGGCTGGAGGCAAATATGTCACTACTAACAAAACAAAAAACAATGAGTATTTACCCAATTTATCATGGTTCATTGGTATTATCTCTTTGTTAAGAATTGCACCTTTTACAAACATACTCTGTCCAACCCACAAGTTTCAGGCCACCTTACCCACTTATAGCAGTAACATCTTCTCTTTTGGCCATCCTTTACTCACCTAAATGCAGAATCAGTACAGTAGGATGACCCTAAGTCAATTGCAGTGACCGGTGCACTGAGATTTCCCTCAAAGGCATTCGTTACCATGGAAGCCAAACAAGAAGATCCAAAAACAGAAGCAGAGAATGTTAAATTATTTTGGCTGCCTGTCCTTTTATCATTAGGGCCCAAATTTGTGCATTTGCTTTGTTTTAATGTTTGCTTAAGGAAACCCAAGAAACATAGTTTCTGTTTATAGTAGGTTATAAATTAATGAGGCCAGAGCTAGTAAAAACAGCCTTATGTAGCGTCGTTTAGGAATGGAGGTTTCTGATTTGCTTATATAAACTTAGGTGACCTCTAGTGTTCCTATCCCTTAGCTAATGCAGAGGTTGGTAAATGGTAAGTGAAAGTAGGGCTTTTTCATCCCCGCCAAAAAAGGGCGGGAGAGGAAGAAAGACTAGCTTGAGAAGGATTGTGATGAATGATACAGAAGGCTTTAGAAAGTCCAGGTGAATCAGTTCTCTTCCAAAGGAAAGGCACGGAAGGAAAGGAAATGGAGGCAAAAGTAACTGAAGGGAACCTAGCAGGTAAGGTGGAGGGGGATGGTAAAGGGAGGGCACACATTCCTGTTAGAACAAACCAGAGGCTGCCTCCAGAAGGTCTAGGGAATTTCCTTGTAACAGAACACAAAGCAGTGAGTAGGTAATTTGGCACTGTTTAGACTACAATGACTTCATTCAGGATGAGGCCTCAGTGGTTTAATAGGCTTAATCTATAGAGAGAAGGCATTTAGAAAAATGAAAAACTTGCTTTGGAAGTCAGTAGTAGGTTAACACAAAGTAAGGCCTGCCCAGTTGATATGAAATCACCTCTTAAAGAAGAATGCTATCAGTCTTTACTTAATTGAATGGCAAGAAGCTTGAAACCCAGTGGGAAGTGTTGGTTAATCTAAATACTTGGGGAAAACTCAGGAAATTCAGCAGTGGGAAAATCTTTTTTGAGGAAAGTTTTGGAATTTCCCTTCGAGAAGAAGACTGAGTAAGATTTACCAGAGCTGAGTTAGTACACCAACAGCTTGTCTGGTCCAAATGACACAGCAAGTGATAATCCTAGGCCTTTAGAAGCAGTCTGATCCAAGTAGGATTTTTATCATTATTGAGCATTAGTTTAATATATGTAGATGATATACAACATATAGGAAAATACATGGCAAAGATAGTTCCTATTCTTGAGCTTCCCTTTTAGTAAGAATTTATGTTGCTGGAAACATGAGAGTAGTTTGTCAACTTTTCTGCTGTTTTTTCCTTTCTTGGTAGATTTTTAATTATTTATTCTCCTTGAGGATGATTTGCATTTTCTTAGTAAAAAAGAGACTAAAAGGTGAGAAAAGCAGATTGGCTCTCAGATTGCACCCTGCATTTTAGCTAAAAGACTAAGAAATGGTGATGACTCCATTGATACTGTGTTTTCCAGTGTGAGGACAAGCAAGACTTCATGATATGTTTTTCTCATCTGGTTTCTTAGAGATTTTGACTCTTTGGATGAGCAAAATGTGGAGAAGAATAACCAGCTGGCTTTTGATATTGCTGAGAAGGAACTGGGCATTTCTCCCATCATGACAGGCAAAGAAATGGCCTTGGTGGGGGAGCCCGACAAGCTGTCTATGGTGATGTACCTGACTCAGTTCTACGAGATGTTCAAGGACTCACTCCCCTCCAGTGGTAAGGGCTGGCAGGCACTGGTATGGAGGTCTTCCATTTCTTCAATGCTCTTGCCTCACTTTTCTGTTTTTCCTTCTAACCATGTCCTTCATCAGTACCGCCAAAAGCAAACCTGCACTTACTCTGTGTTATTACTGGTTGACTTTCCTGATAAGTCTCTGGAACATTGTTCCATTATTTTTTCCTTCTCTGATAGAGTGTTCTCAACCTTTCTTCCTTTTCCTGTATCATTCTCACTAAGTCTGTAAATAAGCAAAAATCATTCTTATGCAAAATGCTTTCCCTGACTCTACTACTTTCTCTTTCAAAACCAGCCTGTTTGAAAAAGTGGTTTATAATTAAGGCCTCAACCTCCTAAGGCCTAAACTTTGTAACACTTTGCAACCTGGCTTTTGTTTTTGCTGCTCTGCCAAAACTATTCTCCACAATCACGAACAATCACCAAATCTGTATTCTTTTCTTATTTCACATCTCTCATGCACTTGGCTTTTCTGCATTATTCAGAACTATGGAATGATGTCCTTTTTCTTGAAGTTCTCTCTGCTTGTTGGCTTCTGTGGTCCCATACTTGTTTGCTTCATTCTCTTTCTTCTGTAACTGTTGATTCTCTGGCTTATTTCTTTTCTCCTACCTTTTAGTGTTTTTCAAAGTCTTTGTTTGGCCCTTAGCCTGCTGCCTCAGTCTACCAGAGTATTATACTACAAAAAAATGTCCCTGTTGTCATTTATTGTCCCTTGGAGTAAGGGTAGTGTGTGGTACCCGACCTGGGCTTATTTCCCAGTACTTCTACCTGTTTGACCTTGGGCAAGTTACTAAATTTCCCTGTGCCTCAGTTTTCCTATCCACAAACTGGATTTTATGTATGTATAACATAAAATTGTGATATGCTAAGAAGAGTGTTTGGCAGACAGAAAGATTTAACAAATATCTACAGTATGTCATTGGTTTCAATTATTTAAAAAATTATTAGTGTCAGGGTGCCTATGTGGCTCAGTTGGTTAAGCGTCCACCTTTGGCTCAGGTCATGAACTCACGGTTCATGGGTTCGAGCCCTGCATTGGACTCTGTGCTGACAGCTAGCTCAGAGCCTGGAGCCTGCTTCAGATTCTGTATCTCCCTCTCTCTCTGACCCTCCCTACTCACGCTGCCTCTCTCTCTCCCTCTCAGAAATAAATAAAACATTAAAAAAAAGTTTAAAAATTACTAGTGTTACTAATAAAATATCAGAATCCACAAATTTGGTGATTCTCCAGTGTCTTCTAGTCCACATACTCATAGAGATATCCATGTTTTTTTCTGATTCAATATGCAGTTCTTATAACAGAAATTCATATTCTAGTATCAGTGTATCTATTTAGAGAGAGCCTTGCCTTTATGTGTAGCTAAATGAATAATTAAAACCAATGACCCTGATCCACATACCCTTCCTATCTCCCTCCACCTTGAACTTTCTATCACCAGGGTGATGAGGCTTTAGCAGTCTGTTGTAACTAACACTCATAGGCAGAGTCCAACTTTTGAAGAGCAAACGGGGGATTTTGTGACTGAAGTGGATTGGAAGAGTCGGTTCCGTTTACATGGATGGAAAAGAGAAAGCTCAACATTCAGACCTAAATGTACATTTCCTTTGTGGAATTTCCTCTTGAGTTCTGCTTGCTTTTATCAGAGCAGATGAACCTTTAGAGTTGCCTGAGGTTCTGTGAGCCACCTGCAAGGTGGTAATCCTGGTCAGTATTTTTGAAGCCCCCTCCAGGGCTGTCCTCAAACATTGCTTCCTTTTCACAGATGCCTTGGACCTGAATGCTGAGGAGAAAGCAGTCCTTATCGCTAGCACCAAATCTCCCATCTCCTTCCTAAGCAAACTTGGGCAGACCATCTCTCGGAAGCGTTCTCCCAAGGTAAATGGAAGAGGTTTTTGACTTGCTGCAAACCTAAAGGCAAGGTATAGTGCCTAGGATAACATAGTATCCCTCCTCTCTTGGTATAGGATAAAAAGGAAAAGGACTTGGATGGTGCTGGAAAGAGGAGAAAGACCAGTCAATCGGAAGAGGTAAGAATTATCTGGGATTTGTTAGAATGATCATACTGAATTGCCCTTTTTGTCCTAAATCCTTAATTTCCAATTTAGTATTATTAGATCCTTTCATATTCATTTTTTATGAGAATTTTTGTGGGCAGATGCCTTTTCAGTGGGCTTCTGCCTTTGTTTAATGTTTTGGAGAGCGTCCAAAGGAACAGACACACATGTGCCCCGGTGCTTTCCTATCCCTTTAGAATTAGACATTTGGCAGAGGGCAGTGACTTTTATGAGATACAGCAATACCAGCAAAAGTCTGAGTACCTGTTTCTAGTGCTTCATGCACCAAAGTCTTCCTGACTGCATCTTGAGATTAGAACCTTAAGAGAAGCTGTTAAGCTTAACCTAAAGCAAAAATACCAGCCACCATCCCAGGCACTGGCCACACTTCTTCTTTGAGGGAAGGGCATTTGGGGGGTGAGGGGGGATTTCTCTAACAGAGTCTGGGTTTGGGGCATTGGTGTTTTTCAGGAGGAAGCACCCCGGGGCTACAGAGGAGGAAGGCCCACACTGGTGAGCACTCTGACAGACAGAAGGATGGATGTAGCCCTTGGAAACCAGAACAAAGTGAAATACATGGCAACCCAGCTGCTGGCCAAATTTGAAGAGAATGCACCTCCACAGTCCACTGGCATGAGGAGACAGGTAAACCCCACATTACATCTCATCCATCCACATTTAGTCTGGCCACATAGGATGGAGGGATAGTCTCAGTCAAGAGAAATGGGGTGGGGTGTGTCTCAGCCGAGCATTCACACACTCAACCAGACTGGTGTCTGGTTTTCCCCTTGTCTGACTGTGGCAGAGAAAAGTATTTTATAAGCTCCTTGTGTGCTTTCAGCACTGCTTTATCCTCACTGTTCAGGTCTAAGGTGTCTGTGACAAAAAAATCAGAGGAAGAGTTTTAAATTTCTATATCTATACATGTTTATATGTTCACATACATGCAGACATATTTGGATTATGAAAGACATAGATGTTTACTGAGGAAAATGCTGAAAACTATAATAAAGGTAATCAAAACACCTCTAATTCTGTTAACATTTTGTTGTTTCTTTCTATTCTTTTTTTGGTGCATTTTTGTTTCCATAGTTGAGGTTATTCTTAATATACACTTCCTGTTCTGCATTGTTCACATAACTTTGGGCATATTCCTATGTTGTTCCAAGCTCTATAAGCCTCTAAAATGTATGTGTGCCATGCTTTTCTTAACTCTTCCTCTGGTGTTGGATGTTTTCATTGTTTCTCATCTTTTATGATAAACTACAGAGATAGTAAACATTCTTGTGATAGATCTTTTGTGTGTTGCAAATGGTATTCTTAGGCTATCCTCGAGCTGGGCCAAGACTTATGAACATTTTAGAGTCATCGTGGAGACTAACTTGTGTTCCCATAAGTCAAACCAGAGAGTGCTAGACAGGAGTGTTTTGACTTGAGATGTCGTTGTTACGTCTTGTCTCTCCTCTTGCTAGTCTGAAAGTCACGAAAATGTCTTACAAGAGGAGGTGCTGGGATTCTGAGATTTACACAGAACATTTCTTACAAAACTCCCTAATGAACTGAGAGAACATCCAGAGGAAAGGGAGCCCATTCTTTTTAGTCTTTTACTCTCCTTCTTCATCTTTTCCATACATAATCAGCCGTTGTTCTAGTAGACCAGGGCTGAGGGGGCTACTGACTTTGCTTGGAGTCGGGCCATGATTAACTTCTTCTCACATTTAGCCTTTGGTTATTAATCTTCACACTCTGGTCATGCATGTCGCGGCTCATAGAGAAGATGATAATATTCATTGGTAAACATCTGAGGTTGCCTGAGAGTTCTCGTATCCTGCAGGATCTGCCTCATCTCAGGAAGGCTGGAACGCTCTCTGTGAGAGGAAGTGTGCCCTTAAGGGAAGGTTGTTTTCCTCATTTTGAGCAGAAAGATTAGTTTTCCAAACCTGAATTAGTAGTTTAGGCTCAGAGCTTTGAGCTAGAGAAGAGGATAGTGAAAATTACAGCTTCGGATTTCCTCTTTTTTTCCCTTTTGCCTTTGCTTTTGGCTTGTGGGGGTGGGGTATCTTGTTTTCATTATAAGTGTACCTTTCTAAGAATTAATTGTGTCTCCCCCAACTCCCAGCTCATAGATGTGTGTCTGTCTACCATGCATGAATGTCTTTTTTGTGTCTTCTCCTACCTTAATGTATTTTATTTTGTTTTGTCTCCATGCCCTGTCCCCCACCCATACCTGGCCTGTGTGTCACAGCCGACACAAGAGCGTGGGGCCAGCCAGCCGTCCTGCTGCCTACCTGAGCAGGGTCGCCCTGCTCCCACCCCCCAGTGGAAACAGGTAAAGGAGCTGCCCAGGGACCAGAATGGGTGCTGCTTCCCTGGGCCTTCCAACCCCACTCCTCCCTCTGAGCCAGCCATGGCTGAGGCCTCCAACACTTTAGAATCCTCGCTCCCAAGGACAGGAAGCCTCTGGACTCTTTTGAGTAGCAACTGAGGGGGAAAGTTTAACAGACCATACTGATTGTATTGCATGATTGATTTAACTCTTTGGGAATTGAGAAATCACTTAAAAGGGTAGGTTATTTGCTGTTGAAACTTGCTAAAGCTATGTGGGATGTAGTTTAGTTACCTTAGCATCTACGGTTTTACCATTATAACCTTTGTCCCAAGTTGATATTTTGCTTTCATGTATCCTTGTAACCAGTGGAAGGAGAATCCTGGATTCAGCAAGGCTGAGAATTGGAGCAGTGGAGCCTTTCATGTTAAGTAGGAAAATGTTAGCCAAGAAGTAGCCTTGAACTGTGATTTGTATTTGTTCCAGACCCTCGACAAAGATGATCGTGGGCATTTTCTGGGTGTTTTGTCTCCATTTAAAATACTCTTTGAAATTTTTCAATGAAGTTTTTACAGGATCTCCTAGAAAGCTGCTTGTAAGCAGGATAGGACAGAAAAGGGGGTGGGGCGTGGCACCTGGCTGATAATAGGAAGACCATCAGAAAGATTGGGGCCTCTGCCATATTTTCTCCCAAGTCACAGTTGAGCAAGTTCCTGGTCTAGTGAGTGCAGCCTGGATTCTCTGTCTTATGGTTTGGTATCATTTAGGACTAAGATTCTGAGAGGTCAAGTGAGCTGACCCTCAATTTCCACTTGTGCTTCAGAGTGCCAGCTATTACTGGGAGGTGCTGGAGGGAGTGGCAAGTGGGTTTTATTTGAATTATATTCAGGGCAAAAGTTTCCTTTCTAACCTCTTTTTAAATAATATGCCACATTAAAGGCAGGGCCCATGAGTCTGAGATAGAAGCTAGGAAGCAATGTCCAGACTCACAACAGCCCCCTCAACCTGCTTCTTTCTCTATGCCTAGGGGAGGTCTTCTGGAAAACAAACAAACAAACAAAGTTCATTAGAAATTCAATTTCTCCCCCATGGTCCTCCATTAAGTTCCTCCTAATCCTCCTATACGTGCAAACATATGGTATCTGTCCTTCTCTGCCTGACTTATTTTGCTCAGCGTAACACCCTCAAGTTCCATCCATGTTGCTACACATGGCCAGATTTCATTCTTTCTCATTGCCATGTAGTATTCCATGGTATAGATAAACCATGGGGGAGAAGAAGGGGAAAAATAGTGGGGGAGAGGGAGGGAGGCGAACCATGAGAGACTCTTGAATACTGAGAATCAACTGAGGGCTGATGGGGGTGGGAGGGGAGGGGGGAGATGCACATGGAGGAGGGCACTTGTGGGGATGAGCATTGGTGTTATATGGAAACCAACTTGACAATAAACTATTAAAAAAATAAAAAATAAAAGGTATAGTGATTGGAAAAAATAAACTATGAAAGGAAAAAAATAATAAAATAAAAGGAACTAAAATTTTTTTAAAAACGGAATTCAATTTTATTTTCTTACCTTTGTCTTGAAGTCTACGTGGTTGTGTGATTTGAAAGGTAATTTTTAGTTGAGGATCTGCTGAAGGGGAAAGTGAACTCTAAACTAGATTCCCCCAAACTCTAGATTCTGACAGTATCCAGAAAGGTCGTCTGAGATACGAGAAGCAAAAGGGAAGGAAAGTCAGTAGTAACACATGTAGACGGATGAACAGATGACTTTAAAAGGTGTGTGCCCAGAGCAGCTTTGGGTTGGCTTGCTGGGAGGTCTCAAGGGGTATTAAGTGTGACCCAAGGAGGCTGGCTCAGCCGAGGCCTCTGTCCTGGTGAAGACTGGCACATGAGCTCTTCACCTAATGGAACTGTACCAAAGGGGCATCAAGAGCTTGTTGTTTGTGGAACTGTTTATCTTTCCCCTTTTTGTGAACCATCTGGTGACCTCTAACCTTGTGTGGGATGCGACATGGAGACACATAGCTAGGTTGTCATCTGGGTAATACGGGATTACAGTCCATGAAGTAGAATGCTGCTAGGCTCTGCAGGCCGCAGAATAGAGCCATTGAAGGCAAACCTGGGTTCTGTGGAGTGGGCACCAGAGATCACAGTGGAAAGGGTATCTGAGTAGATCTTGGTGAAACCATGAACAGTGAGAATCCTGTTAGATCGTTGTTCTATGGAGTTTGGAACTGTGAATTTACTTGGCCGTGAAAAAACTAACTCACGTAGTTTTTTCTCAACACTAAATCAGGGGCGGCATCATGAGTCTTGGCCTTGTAAATTTATCTACTAAAAGAGAACATTGGCAGGCAGTGCCACGTGCTCCAGAAACGTGGGAACAGGGGGATCCAGTAGTGTGCTCCAGTGACCCTCTGCTTCTGACTCATCGTCTGTGGCCCTCCTTCTCCCCCTTTAGGAATGAAGGGCTGACTGGCAGTACCTTACCATGACTCACTTTTTGTTTTTCTTGAAGAGGTTTGGATTGAGGCACTAGGGTGTGGCAAGCAGGGCAATGGTGGCCGAGTTGGCACAAGAATCAGTTTGCACTTAGGTCATGGTATAGACGAGGGAAAATGAGTAACAATTTTGCTTGCCAGTGACGACTTCTTTTTTTTTTTTTTATCTAACTGTGTAAACACTTTGGCCCTCCCCGCCCTTCTATCTTTTGATCTCAGAAATGCGTCCTGCAGGCATCCAGCCTTGATATGGAAGTAAATTGTTATGTGAAGTTGGAACAAACAGTGGGACTCTTTCCCCGGGCCTCACAACCTCACAACCTCTGTGGCTCCTTCTCCCTCCCATGCTTCACCTGTGTGCTGCCCCATGTGATCATTCTGGGCATGAGGAAATGGAGGATTCCTCTGGCCTAGAAATAAGTAATTGTTCCCGAAGTACTGAAGAGTTCTCTAAATGATAGATTCACAGGCAGGGAGTAGAAAGGAGAGGGGCAACATGGGGAAATAATCCATGGGTATGTATGGTGTTCAGTTAGTGGAAGATGTTTAAGTTTTATATTCTGTTTCCTGCACTTTCTTGTATTTCCTTGGTAGTTTTCCAGAACGTTTTGAGCGTGAGTGAGGGGACTGAGAAGAGGGAAGCCAGGGCACGGTGTTGTCTTGGGTGAGCCCTCCGGGAGAGTGCTGCTTTGCTGCTGGTGGGTGTAGAGGTGACTGAGCCGTTGGGAGGCAGTCTCCATGTTCCCCTCATGATAGTTGGCCTGTGTGCCCTTTCTCTCTACTTACATCCAAGCCCATTTCTTCTGTCCTCAACTTCCCTGGTAAAACTCACAAAGAAGATACCCTTGATCCCTGGCACTTAGAAAGTGTTAGACTGCAAGTTCTGACCCCAAGGCCAGCTGTGGAGATTGTTCATGTGGTTTGCACTTATCAAACAGCACAAGTGTGACCCGGAGGCCAACGATCAATGGTGACAAGTCGTCCTCCCTGACCATACAGTAACTGCTGTTGAGCATGGAGAGGCAAGGGAGGGATGGTTTTGGCAGATGCCCTTTAGCCCTTCCAGAACCTGCCTAAACATGGCACCTGTTTCACCAATGTTCTCTCTGTTTGTGTCTGTTGGTGTAAAAGCGACGGGAAAAGGAGCGTTCTCGGACCTGCCCCAAAAAAGTGATCACACTCTCTCCTCCCCCTACTCCACCTCCCTGTCGGGCGCCTGGCAGCCAGCAGGTGATCTTCTCTGCATGCTCTGTGGTCCTTGTCTCTGTCTTCCTGCCTGCCTGTGTAGGTGGCTAGGGCAGAGACCAAATCAGGACCCCCTCTTTTCAGAAATAACAAAGAACAGAAAGACCATTTGTAATAGAAGCACTTTTATTGCTACAGATGAACAATTCCCAGTAAGACCTCAGGATAGCACTTAATATATGCAAACCCTGGTTTAATTTAGTCCCACATCATAGGAGAACAACTATGCAAGCAAGCACAGCCTAAAATTTAAACTATATTTGTCACAGATATAAGGTCCAAAAAGCCCCAGAGAGCAACACATTTTTACATAACCTCATTTAAAGCAGCCACTTTTGTCTTGCTGCACAAGGAGATATAATTAGGATGGGCTTTTGGAAGCTTTTTATAGGGCCTCACTACATGAGTTTGATTCCTTCTGATTTTGAGAGCCCTGCCTCGTGCTTTTCCAACTTGTGCCAGCAAATACCTGCCCTTCCCATCTACCCCACTCACACTACAGGCAGACCATTTGAAAATGCTTTATAGAGCAGTTAACCACAGACATGATTAAAGAGGACAACAAGCATACTTTCATAAACTATATTTATAGAATATAAATTGACCTTTGTAGGACATTCCTATAAAATGAAATACTAATTTTAAAGGCAGGATCTATGGAAAGGCATTTTCTCAAGTAAGGTGGCCTATTTAAAAGGGGCCCCTGAGTAACATGTCTGATTGTTAAAGGCCTGCACTGTGTCCCTGGGCCTAAGAACTCAGCCATTGTAGATTTAGTAATTACCCTATACCTTGTCTCTAGGTAATAACTAACACTTAGGTCCAGGTGGCACTCTCAGTTCTTGATGTGTTATCAACATCAGTTCTTACAATAACCCTATGGCAGATACTATTATCATCTCCATGTTACAGATGAGACTGAGGCATAGGGCAGGGAAGCCAAGTACTTTGTACAAGTTCACACAGTAAGTAATGGAGTCAGGAATTGAATCTGGGTGGTGTGACTCTGGAACCCAGGCTCTGGCCTCATCCTGCCTGTGGAGACCACATGTTCATGGGCCACTCAGAAGCTTTGGATTAGTTCTTCCACCAGTATGAGGCCGTCGGCTGAATCCTCACCGGTAATCCAAAGAGTGATGAGTAGCCTTCCCTTTTCCCACACAATTGCTGATAGTTGTTTCCTCAGGTCCGTAGAGGCAGCCATATGCCTGTCTTAGGATTTCCTTGCCTGTCATGTACATATTCCTATCTGTTGACTGAAAATGCTTCCAGTCATCGTCTACTTCTCCCTTTAATAAATGATGCTTTGGTCCCATGTTCCTATTCAGGGACCACTCCCCATCCTGGAGTTTCCTCTGAACTGTTTAACGGCCATTTGTTCAGCCAATTTCCATCTCCTCACCTTTTCCTTTCTAATATCTTGTTATAGAAAACTTCACCCTCCTAACCAGCTTCTCGTTTTAAACCATACATTTAATGCCTCTGATCTTGTGCCACTGTGTGAAAAGAAATATGTTTGTTCCACTTCTGTACTAACCGTAGTTCTTTATTCGTGTGGCTGACCTCACTGGAGGCCAGATGGACAGAGTGTTGGACAGAAAGTTGTCCTGGGGTCGCGGGATTTGATATAGATGGGATTGTGGTTTCCTGGGGTGGGGATCTGTCAGGGGCAGGGGATGTGTGTTGAAATGAATTCTGAATATCTGGCACTGTCACTTAGTAGGGCCACATAGAACATTTGGATGGAGCTTAAGTCTCTACTTTGTTGCCAACAGACGTACAGGGATCTTGATGCTGACAGCCGTGGCAAGCAGAGTCCCCACCATGAGAGGGTAAAAGCATGAATCATGGCATGGGATGCTGAGAGCCAAATGGACGGGGCACGCTGAGGTGGTGGGGCAGAGGGACGGTGGGGATGGTCCCCTCTCCACTTGCTTTGTGCACACTCTGGTCACTCAGCCAAGAGCAAGAATTCTTGTTGCTAACCATATTGACCCATGTAAATAGCATTCACAGGAGAGCATTCATCTGCCCAGCATTGACATCAGTCAGCAGGTGACATTTGCTTACATCTTTGGACATTCAGGGATCTTGAGGTAGAAATTAAGAGCCAAAGCTCTTACTGGTGTGGGGACTTTTCAAGTATGAAGAGCCGATGGAGGGGAAGGAAGGTGGTGACAAGATAGGGGTGCATAATGAAAAGCTTTAGCTAGTCTCTTCTGAAAAACTGAAGGGGGACCTACTGATTACACCTGGCCATCATATAATTTGAATAGCAGAGATGCTCATTTTAAAAAGCCTGCTTATTTTATGAAACTTTTGGTTGTCATTGTTACACTTAAACCTGATCCCTGACTGAGTTAAGCTCTGCAGCAAGAGTGAAGAATCCTATATAACTGTTAATTTCACATGGGCCTTTTTTATTTTTACTTCTCTTTCTGTCTTTGCTCTCTGAGAAATACAGTCACGGTGAAGGAAGCTAGTGCTCTGTTCTTACACTCTGTCGCCAAGCAGAAGCAGGTGACCTGCGTGGATTGGTGCTGGCTTAGGGAGAAGAGACCAGGGCCGAAGTGGAAGGAGGGTGTCCTTTTCATCTCGTCACTCACAGCCCAGCTCTGCTTTCTTCATTTCTGTCTGGGCTGCTTCCTCCCACAGGCACTATGTGCCCAGCCTCTTTCTTCCTTCTTCCCAGGCTGTATTCCTCTCAAAAAGAAAAGTAGGCGTTTTCACAGAGAAGGGCAAGCCCTGCATTTCAATGAATGCATAGTTAATGAGGCCCTGGTGATTTTTTTAATGAAACTGCCTAACTGAAAAAGAATAGAGGGAAGTGTGTTAAATAAAAGGAGAGATGGGCAGGGAGAAACCATCAAAATCTAGGGCTACAATGCCCCAGAAGAAAGGTAGGATTTTGAACTCAGGAATTATGAAGGTTTGCAGGGAATTTTCTTTCATTTTCCCAATGGATTGGTTTCCGGAGTCTTCACTGCAGGGATCCTGTCTAGATACTTTTAAGGGTTACTGAATTTGTTCTCTTCCAGGATTTTCTGTCCACTATTCCATGCTCTTACCCCGTGCACTCACCTGCTCCCATCCACTCCCACCCCCAGTCTTCCCATTAGCTTCACTGCTTTGCCGTCCCTGGGAGAGTTGCCTTCTCCCTTGTTTCTCTCTGGTGGATGATACTCTTCTACAGAGATCTCCCCCTTGGGCCTATGTCTCTGAGCCCACCCCAAGTGCTGAGCTAAGGGCCAGTGAGCTGGCTGAGCATCTGGAGCAGGGGTGGTGACACTCCACATTGTCACCCCTTAAAGCTGTGAATTTAGTGGGGGTGGGGCTGAGTTGGGGGTGTGATGGATCTGCGTGGAGCTAGAGGGGCAAAGGGCTTCTCTCACCATGACAGTAGTACTTCCCTCTGTCATGGGAAATACTGCAAGTACTTCATCCTGAACCTTGTAGGAAACTGGGCAGTTTTCACTTACCAGAGCTCTAAGCCCCCATCTCCCTTTCTGGGGACTGGACAGTTCCCGGCTGCCTGTCCACCACCGAGGAAGATCCCAGCTTACTTTTGCAACACATGCTGCATGCAGTCTCCAGAGGACTTGGGATCTTTTCTCCTGATCATTGCTAGGATTTGGCTGGCTCCTTGGCAGGCAGAGTTTCTGTGAGCACTAGCCATAGGAAGAGACAAAGCCACATTTCTGGCCTTTATGGAGGAGTAAGCTTCGTTCTAGATTTGCTGTCCCTATTTGCTGTTTGTAAGGCCAGTGGAGTGATGAGGTGGTACAATCTCCTTTTGCCCAGAGAATTCCCAGCTCAAGCCTGTGAAGGGCTCTACAGAGCATATAGAGTGGGTGTGTGAGTAGGACACGGCCCCTGGCCTCTGCTGCCTCCTGGCTGGCAGCATTATCCACTTGGGATGGCTAGCATAAGACCACCAAGCAAGAGAAGACAAGGCTTTCAGAGACGGCTCCCGACTGCAGTGACCATGTTCCAGAGCGAGCATCACAGTAAGCATGAGGCAAAGGGTGAGCGAGCTGAAAGTAAAATGGAAGCCTTGCATGAGCCACTCCTGCTTTTGGGAACTAAGAATGTCTCTTCACTGTATTTGTTATTTAGATAAAGGTCTAAAACCCCCAAATTCCTTACATTCAGGTCAGTATGTAACTTTTTATTTAACATTTCCTTTGATTTTTTTTTTCTCCATCTTGTATTTTGTAGCCAGAACCTGAACCTTCTCGTCGATTTTTTGTTGACCAGTGGGAGCTTTCTCTTAGTCTTCGCTCCTCCAACCGCCCCGCCTCTCCCTCCTCTGACTCTCTCCGACAGGTAGCACAGCCTGGGACTTGGCAAAGCTCTTTCCTCTTCAGCCTCTCAGTTCACCTACGCAAATGTCATCGGGCCGGAGGGAGGTTACAGAGCATTTAACTTTGTCCTGTCTTCTGTGGGAATCCGCTTGTGTGTATGTATGTCTGTCTGTGTGTCTGTCTGTCGGTTTTGCATGTGAGGTCTGTAGGCATATGCCAAAGTTAAAGAGGCTGCTAGCTTTCATTGCATCCAATTCTGTCAAAGTAAACCCACTTCTATTATATTTCAACTATATAAAATAATAACAAACATTTTTCAGCCATTAACTTTTTAAATTCCAAATGTCTTTGTATGGATATGTATTACAAAATATGAACAATAGTGTAATTAAATCTCTTAAATGGAGTGGTGAACATGCAGTATTGTGGGTGCCTCTTGAATTGTAATTACTTGAGGAATGAACCCTGCTATTTCCCACAGTGGAACTGATCCAGCTATAGAGTAGTTTAGAGAAAGGTCGGTGGTTCCTTTTGCCCTTTCTGTTTATGTTTCCTGTTCTCGAGCAGTCTGTATGGTATGTGTGTGGAAGCATGTGCATGTGTGGTGGCAAAAGTGTAAGTCCAGCAATTGCCACATTTAGACTGTTTCTTAAGAGTGGGGAGAAGGATACCATCTGCTATTCATGCCAGAAAAAATAAAACTTGAGTTTCCACCTCTTTTGGGGGGATGCTTGTCAGTATTACTGCATCACTGAGAACTGAATGTGACAAATGCCTTTGACACAGGCAGCCCTGGGCTATATTTGCTGAGGATGCCAGTTTCTGGTGGTAGGGAAGGGTCCTTGCCGAGCAGTGAGGATCCAGAGCTTGCTCAGTGTCCCAGGCTTAGGGGTAGCATCTGGCCTACACCCTCACTTACTTTCTGCACCCTCAGTGTCATCTGTTAAGTGACCTGCTCAGCTCTGCCTGGTGTCAGTCTGTTTCAGGAGTAAGCTTCCCTAATAGCTCTAATCTAAAGAAGGTTTAGATATTAGAGCCACTTGTTTTTCTCAGCCATTAATGGGTATAAGCTGTGTAGTTAATGAGCAAATGGCACCAATCCTTGGAAATCTCCTTATTTTAAATTGAAAAATAGAATTGACTCCTCAGTTCCAGCTGAATCTTGGAGAATTGTTTGCTCATTTGTACTGTTATTCTCGTGTTCACATAGAGCTAGTTTCCCCCCCAGCCCACTTATCTTGTCTGCCCCTGCCCAGCCCAGGGCACACCATTGCTCAGGCCAGCAGTTCTCTCACACCTGACTTTGTGTGTTGTCCGTTCAAACCACTTCCCGATGGGGTTGTGGACATCCCTAAGACAACTGCTTCTGGTGTGTTCCTCAGTCAGAAGTTCAGGGCTCCCCAAACTAGGCAGGCAGCTCTCTTATTCCACATAGTTTATGAGAGGAGAGTCATGCACACCAGGTGTCCTGGCCATCTTCACATGGAAGGGTGACCTTGGGAGTCTCTAAAGCACTGCCAGCAAGGTTTTGACCTCATTCCCTGGGGACAGACTCCAGCTAGGCTGCCTAGCAGGAAGGCTTACAATTGAAATTTTGTAGTTTTGGTTGTTACTTCTTCAACATTGCTAGGAAGAGGATTGAATTGGTTAGATTTTTTTCTTTTCTTTTTCAACCTATGAAAAAATAATCCCTCCTGGACTAGAAACTTCCCAAGACTTCTGACTTCCCAACTTCCCAAGACTAAACTAAGCAACTTGTCTACATGGCTCCACCTGTTAGCCTACTGCAGCTGTGTTTAAGGTGCCCACCCCAGTCTAGAATGCTTTGGCCTTAGAGCCTGGGTAGATCACATAAATATCAAGGAGGAGAATGGGCTGAGAAGGATTCTTCCAGATAAAGCTCAGAAATACTTGATACATATAACCAGAGTTATGAGTGAAGCATTAGTAGGAGGAAGGTAATACTAGGCTGTTGGCATCATTTACCAAGTGGAGAGTCAGCCTTGCAAGTATAACCTTAGTTTCTTTCTTTCTTTTTTTTTTTATGTTTATTTATTTTTGAGAGAGAGAGAGAGGCAGAGTACACGTGGGGGAGGGGCAAAGAGAGATGGAGACAGAATCCAAAGCAGGCTCCAGGCTTTGAAATGTCAGCACAGAGCCCTACATGGGGCTTGAACTCACAAACCGCAAGATCATGACCTGAGCTGAAGTCAGACGCTTAACCGACAGCCACCCAGGCGCCCTGAGCTTAGTTGTTTTCTAAATGAGGAAATAACTTCCCAAGCCCTCTCCTAGACCCAGCTTGAAACATACTGGTAATCTGGACATGTCCTGTCTGAGTGGGAGTTATTCCTCTTGAATTCTTTATATGTAATTTGAGTCACTAGAATATAGGCCCTTCTTAACTCTGTTCTGTATTTGTATCCATCCTGTCTTCCCACCTCCCTGAACTATATACTCCGAAAAGACATGGAAGACTAAGTTCTCCCTTACTGAATTTAATTATTCCTGCAGACATCATTCTTACCTGTGCTGATACCTCTGTGTGGACATTGACACTCATTTCTCTGACCACCAAGTTTCCCTGCTTGTGGGCACTGTATTGGCATGGTTTGCTGCTGCACCTTGTATTCATTTTATATCTTTCAAAGATTTTTTTCCCCTGTCTTCTTAATTTATTTATTTTTTTTTCCTTCTCATTTCTCATCATTCTGGTCATTTTATAATCTCCAACCAATAGAAGTATATAAAGATGTACACGGGCGGAGTGAGCTCATTGGCTGAGCAGATAGCCAATCAGCTTCAAAGGAAAGAACAGCCCAAAACCCTTCTAGACAAGAAGGAACTGGTAAGAGATGTATTAAGGGCACTGTCTATCTAGATATAGCACAGCTGTGGTAAACAAACCTGGTTTATTCTAAGTAGCTTAGTAACGTATATAACTAATATATGCCATGCGGTGACTTTTTTTAGGTTGTCTGAAGTTTATAACTGAATTTTTAGGACTGATTGGTTGTTTAGAATGTTGTGTGGAAAAACATACTTATTATCTCTAAAAGTGATTGTTTGCTCTAGAGTCCAGGAGACCCACCTCCATGTAGAACCACATGAACTCTGAGTAGGTATTTTTATGCTACCTTCAAAATAGAATTCTGTCAAAATAATTTGGTTTGTTATGAAGTTCTGTAAAACTTACTAGGGATTCCTCTTGGTTGTATCGATTCAGAACCAACTCCTGCCGATTGCTGTATAGAGGGCACCCGTTGATAGTCACTGCAGTAGTGCCATTGTTCTTTGGGAGAGCCAATAGCGAAGTGAGCCATCTTAGTCTGTCTCAAAACAAAATTGCTTAGTGAGGGTTAGTTTCATCTATGGAAAGGGTTGCGCACCTCCAGGAGGTGAGGCTGAGAAGTATTGGCTCTGACATATCTTCCACCATCCCCCATTCCAGGGCTCAATAAAGAAGGAGTTCCCACAGAACTTAGGAGGCAGCGACACGTGCTATTTCTGCCAGAAGCGGGTCTACGTGATGGAGAGGCTGAGTGCTGAGGGCAAGTTCTTCCATCGGAGCTGCTTCAAATGCGAGTACTGCGCCACTACCCTGCGCCTCTCGGCTTACGCCTATGACATCGAGGACGGTGAGTCTCTTTGCACTTGAGGCCATACTTAGAAACTGAGCTTAGCGGGGGCGCCTGGGTGGCTCAGTCGGTTGAGCATCTGACTTCGGCTCAGGTCATGATCTCACAATTCATGGGTTCGAGCCCTGCATCAGGCTCTGTGCTGACAACTTGGAGCCTGGAGCCTGTCTTTGGATTCTGTGTCTCCCTCTCTCTCTGTGACCCTCCCCTGCTCATGCTGTCTCTCTCTCTCTCAAAAATAAATAAAACATTAAAAATTAAAAAAAAGAAAAGAAATTGAGCTTAGGGGCACTTTTTCCACATGAGCTGATCTTAGGGCCTCTTACTGCGTTCTTATAAATACATTTTTTCTGTCTCTCCTAACCCTTCCTATCCATCTCCCTCTACTCTTTGTTTTTTCTCTAAGACTCTTTCTTATAAATATTTCCCTAAAGTCACCAGGCCGTAGCATAGCATTACTCAGTAGTGACGGTAATGAGAATGGCATGTGTTGATGTAAATCACTTCCCTGGCTTCACAGACACTTGCTTTCTAACCTCAGGGTGGGATCTTAAGATAAAAGGGACACGAAGAGAATAAGATTTTTTTTGTCTTTAGAGAGGGAGAAATGACAAGCCTATGGAAGTCCTATTTCTTGCCTCAGGTCAATAACAGTAAATTGAAACTAGATCTCATGCCCCCTGGGTTCTGAGACTTTTGCTTCTTGAGGATGACCAAATTATGCCCACCTCTCTCTAGCATCAGCATTTCTCTGATGAATTGAAAGCTTGTAGCACAGGATCTAGGTCTAATATACTACAGTGTCCAAGCCCCGGCCTTTTATAACATTTGTTGTCTTTATAAATGAAAGACCATAATAGAGCAGAAGGTGGAGAATTATATAAACAACTAAAAAAGCCTGATAGAGGCAAGATGGCATGCCTTCCATCTGAAGGCTCTTTAAAACTCTTTAAAGACATTGATGACTACTACACTCATTCCTATGGAATGCTGAAGAAACTTCATGAAAGGCAGTCTTACTGATTCAAAAGTCATGAAAAGATCTAGATTAATAGGAGTGCTTATAGAGGTGGCATTATGTGCCCTCTTTTTGGATTCCTGGACCCAAACCCCATGTGGGGGCAGGGAGCTGGAGTCCCCTACCCCCACCCGAATACCAAGCAATTCTCCAACACCAGCAGGGTGTCTAAGACTATAGCTCAGTTTTGACACTGTCTCCTCAGCCCAGAGATAGCATCAGACTTCGCAGGTTAAGGACTCAGGCCAGTAAGATTGCCCCCTGGCCCCCTACTTTAGACACCGGTCACAAGCCCCATCAGTGCTTCCGACCGTCAGCTATAGATTGGAGGTTCCAACAACCTCCTTCTTAGGTTCTTTTTATTTGCTAGAGTGTCTCACAGAACTCAGGAAAACACATACCAGTTTGTTAAAGGATATGGTAAAAGATAGCAAATCAATAACCATGTGAAGAAATACATAAGGCAAGGTCTGGGAAAAGGGCATAGAGTGTCCATGCCCTCTCCAGGGGCACCACTTTCCCCACATCTCTACATGTACACCAACTTGGAAGTTGAACGCCATCCTCTTGGGTTTTTATGGAGGCTTCATTGCATAGTCATGTTTGACCAAGTCATTGGCCATTGTTTGATTCCGTCTCCAGCCCCTCTCCCTTGAGGGGTTGGGGGGGGGGTATCCTGAAAGTCCAGCCCTCCAATCACATGGTTGGTTCTCCTGGCAACAGCTCCTGCCCTTGGGTGGGATCCAAAAGTCACATTAATTGTTATAACCAAAGATACCTTTATCTCTATCAACACTTGGGGAATTCCAAGGGTTTAGAGCAGAGTCAGAAACTGTGGATGAAGACCAAATATATATGAGAATATATTTGGTTATCTGAGTGACTAAATATATATGTCTTATAAATCACAATATGGTACTTCCATTACATTGATAGGTAATTTTTGACTGAGGAGATGGTAAGGTGATGTCACATAGGAGAGGGATGCCACAATTAGGAGTGGTCACTTCAGTCATCCAGACTCTGCTAATAATGAATAAGTAGGTAGCTCTGTCAGAAGTAGCAACAAAGCAGCCAAAGTAATGAACTGAGAAAAGCCAACTCTTAACCATTATGGTACCTGGTCCTTATGTAACTTTAGTAGAAAGCACCACCCAGTGAGGGAAGAGTTAAGACAGTTGTCTAAATAGCAAAAGTATATTCTTAGGTATCAAATTTTCTGTTCCACCATTCCTACACACCTGCTTTTTCTGTAACGCATTTGATTTCCAAGGGTAGGGATTGGCAGAGCCCCATCCAGTGTCTTTTAACTGTCCTTGATGTTCAGGTTATTTTAGTAAGCCTTTTACTGAAGTCTAGAAAGAAGATCGCTCAAGGTCCAGCCAATTAATTGATCCACAATTATTTTTGCCCATAGATTGTGTACTCCTCCTTGCCACATTCTCTTGAGGATACAGATGAAATGTAAAATGTTCCTCAGGGAACTTACATTCTGATGGGCATGATAAGACCAGGGCACGTGGAGCAACAACAATGAAGAGTATATGATTAAAGGCTAACAGACGAAATACAAATTATAACTTTGTAGAAGTTTAGAGGAAGAAGAAATCAATGAAGCCTTTAGGAATGACTTAACTGACCTTACATGAGACTCTGAGGAAGAAGGATGAAATGGCTAAGTAGAGGAAGAGATGGCCTACCAGGCAAGAGAACGACGGGAGCTCAGGTGGAAATGACTGTGACATTGGGCGTGGATGAGGCTGGCCAGCCTGGTTGCGTGCTTTGTTGTTGACCCTGGGACAGGGAGAACGGGGTTCCTGTGGTTCTACATGGATGTGGGCCTCCTGGACTCTAGAGCAAACGATCACTTTTAGAGATACATGTGAGATCTGGCACATGGTCAATGTTACATTAAAAATTAGCTCTTTTTGTTACTAATCTAAGAAGCAAAAAATACCACCAAGTTGAGTTTGGGAAGAGTTTGATTCAGGAGACATTAATTGAGCACCTACAACACATAAGGTGATCTCTTATTAAGTCACCCTATGAGTATTCTCTTCATATTCTACATGAGGAAACATGTTTCAAAATGCTAAATAGTTTACATGACTATTGAGTGGTTGAGACATCATTTAAACTGAGATCTGACTTCAGGGCTCATATTCCTTCCATCACATTGTACTGCATTTATAGAGAAAACAAGTTTCTGGAATTTTCTTTTTTCTTTCTTTTTAAAAAAATTTTTAATGTTTGTTTATTTTTGAGAGAGAGAGACAGAATGTGACCAGGGGGAGGGGCAGAGAGAGAGCAAGACAGAATCTGAAGCAGGCTCCAGGCTCTGAGCTGTCAGCACAGAGCCTGATGTGGGGCTTGAACTCACAAACCATGAGACCATGACCTGAGCTGAAGTCAGACACTCAACCAACTGAGCCACCCAGGTGTCCCTAGAATTTTCTTGATAATTACCTTTTGGTTAGACTTGTGGGACTTGTTTTGAAACCTAAGCCTCTTTTCTTTATTAATTTAGAATACCATAGCAGAATTTAGTGAGGATTCCCTGGAGGTTAGTCTATTGAGTTGTATTTTAAAATCTAGGATTCTACTTTGTAGAAAAAAGCAAACTAATGCAGGAAAAAAAATATAAGAAAGGAATGAAAGTAACTATAACTGTAGTTTTCTTTTTTTTTTTTTTTTTAATGTTTATTTTTGAGACTGAGAGATAGAGTGTGAGCTGAGAAGGGGCAGAGAGAAAAGGAGACACTGACTCCAAATCAAGCTCCTGGCTCTGAGCTGTCAGCACAGCCCGATGCAGGACTCAAACTCAGGAGTTGAGAAATAATAACCTGAGGCAAAGTCAGGTCACGTAACCAACTGAGCCACTCAGGCACCCCTATAACTGTAGTTTTCTGATACTGTAATAAAATAAGACTTGGTAACAAGTAATAGAAACTCAAGTCAGATTAAAGTTGAGCATTAGGTTTATATCTTCCTTCTAGATAGCAATCTCAGAGAAAGGTTGCCCTTCCTATCTCACTGTCCCTGAGAATCCCTGAGAACGGCTCTGGCTAGCCTGACTTAGCCACATGCTATATCCTGGAATGGGCTAGAAGGAAAGAAGATATTCTGATTGACCTGTGTAGGTCATATATTTATTCTTGTGGTGGATAATTTTAGGCCTCATGGTTGATAGCCCATCAGAATCACATGGAGGAGGGAAGAGTGTTCCATAAAGAATAATAAGATACAAAACATACAAAAAAGTAGTATATGAGCCAAGCACTAATAAGTTTTGTCTTGTCCTAATTACATTTTCTCTCTTAGCCAAAATTCACAAAAGTGAAATTGTTTATTACAGATTGTCTAAGCTGAAAAAAATAACCCAGTTCATCTCCCCTCAGAGAGGAGAAAGCAGTGAGATTGATTGATGGTCCTTTGGCTGTCAGTGTTCCTGACAATAGATGTAGTGTCTCTGAGTTCTGATTAAGTGCCAATAGCTAGTGGGAAATTCTGTTTCAGAAAACATATTATGTATGTGAATATCATTTGAAATTATGAAAGTCCATAAACTATATTTTTCTAAAAGATTTCATGTTGGGAAGCAAAGTACAGGTAAAAGAACAGAGAAATCAGTTACTTTGAAGGAAAAGAAGAAAGATACAGTAACCAGAGCATCAAGTAAAGAGGAAAAAAGAAAGAAGTCCATCTCATTTTTATTTCCTTTAACTTTTAGGTCCTCCCCTTTTTTTTCTAGCGTTATTGAGATATAATTGACACAGAATTACATAAGTTAAGGCATACAGTGTGTTGATTATATACTTTGACATACTTTTATAAATTTTAAAATGATTACCATCGTAGTATTGGGTACCACCTTCATCCCATCACATAGTTACTATTTTTTGTGTGTGATAAGAACTTTCAAGGTCCATTCTTTTAGCAGCATTCAAGCATATAATACAGCATGATTAGCTATAATCACCCTGTTGTACATTAGATCCCCAAGCTTGTTAATCTTATGACTGGAAGTTTGTACCCTTTGACTGGTATCTCCTCCTGTTCCCCACCCCTTAACCCCTGGCAACCACCATTCTGCTATCTCGTCAGTTTGTCTTTTTTTTAGACTAACACATATAAGTGAGATTATACAGTTTTTGTCTTTGACTATCTGACTTACTTCACTTAGCATAGTGCCTTCAGGGTCCATCTAAGTTGTTACAAATGCAGGATTTCCTTCTTTCTCATAGCTAATATTCTCTTGTGTACATGTACCACATCTTTTTTATCCATCCATTCATTGACAAACATTTAAGGTTGTTTCCATATCTTGGCTATTGTGAGTAATGCTGAGTATTGTGAGTAATGAACATGGGAGTGTGGAAACTGTACAAGATCCTGATTTTCCATTTCTTTGACTGTATACCCAGAGGTGGAATTTTTGGACCATATGGTAGTTCTATTTTTAATTTACTGAGGAACAGCCATACTGTTTTCCAGAGTAGCTGCGCCAATTTACATTCCCACCAGAAGTTCATTAGGGTTCCCCTTTCTCCAAACCCTCACCAACACTTAACTCTTCTCTTTTTGATGGTAGCATTATAACTGGTGTGAGGGGATATCCTGGGTTTCGATTTGCATTTCCCTGATGATTAGTAATGTTGAGCACCTTTTCATCTACCAGCTGGCCATTTGCATATCTTTTTTAGAAAACTGTCCCTTCAGTTCTTCTGCCCATTTTTTAATCAGGTTGTTAGCTTTTTTGCTGTTGAGTTGTATGAGTTCTTCATATATTTGGATATTAACCCCTTGTCAGATATATGATTTGCAAATGTTTTCCCTATTCTGTAGAGAGAAGTATTGCTTTTTCATTTTATTGATTTGTTTCTTTTACCATGTAGGAACTTTCAGCTTTGACGTCATCCCACTTCTGTAGTTTCTGCTTCTGTTGCTTGTGCTTCTGCTGTCCTATATAGGAAATCACTGCCAAGACCACTGTCAAGGAGTTTTTCCCCTGTTTTCCTATAGGGGTTTTGTGGTTTCAGGGCTTATACTTAAGTCTTTAATCCATTGCAAGTTCATTTTTGTGAGTGGTATAAGACGGGTCAATTTCATTCTTCTGCATGTGGTTATCCAGTTTTCCCAACACTGTTGGGAAGAGCCCTCCTTTCCCCATCCAGTGTGCTTGGCTCCCTTCTCAAATATTAGTTATCTGTATATGTGGGGTTTATTTCTAGGTTCTTGATTCTTTCCCATTGGTCTGTGTGTCTGTTTTTATGCCAGTCTCATATACTATGTTGATTACTATAGCTTTGTGTAATCACAAAGTTTTGTGATTAGTTTGAAATCAGGAAGATGCTGCCTCTGGCTTTGTTCTTCTTTCTCAGGATTGCTTTAGCTATTCAGTGTCTCTTGTGGCTCTATTCAAATTTTAGGGTTGTTTTTTCTATTTCTGTGAAAAATGCCACTGGAATTGTGATAGAAATAGCATTGAATCTATAGGTTTGGGGTAATATGGACATTTTAACAGTATTAATTCATGGATATCTTTCCCTGTGTGTCTTTTTTTTTTTTTTTACTGTCTATTTTTATTTATCTATTTATTTATTTTGCGAGAGAGAGCAAGAGCAGGGGAGGGACAAAGAGAGAATCTGAAGCGGGCTCTGTGCTGTCAGTGGAGAGCCTGATGTGACGCTCAAATTCATGAACCATAAGATCATGACACTTAAGAACCAAGAGTCAGACACTTAACTGACTGAGCCACCCAGATACCCCTTGTTTGTGTCTTCTTAAATTTCTTTTACCAAAGTCTTGTAGTTTTCAGTGTGTTGGCCTTTCTCTTCCTTGATTAGATTTATTCCTAAGTATTTTGTTGTTTGTGATGCTAGTGTGAATGGGATTGTTTTCTTTACTTTTTCAGATGTTTTGTTGTTAATGTATAGAAATGATTGCTTTCCGGGAGCCTGGGTAGCTCATTCGGGTAAGCATCTGACTCTTGATTTCAGCTCAGGTCATGATCTCACAGGTTTGAAATCAAACCCTGTGTCAGGCTCTGCACTGACAGCGTGGAGCCTGCTTAGCATTCTCTCTCTCCTTCTCTGTCTGCTCCTCCCCCGCTCCCTCTCTCTCTCTCCCCCCTTCTCTCTCTCAAAATAAGTAGATCAACTTTAAAAAAAAGAAACAGTTCCTTTCTGTGTGTTGATTTTATATCCTGCATTTTTACTGAATTTGTTAATTAGGTCTGGCAGTATTTTGGTGGAGTCTAGTCTAGGATGTTTCATATGTAAGATCAGCATCTTCAAACAAAGACACTTTTATTTCTTCCTTTCTTATTTGGATGCCTTTTATTTCTTTCTCTTACCTGATTACTCTGACTAGGATTCCTAGTACTTTTTGAATAGGAGTGGTGGGAATGGGCATCCTTGTATTCCTCATCTTAGAGAAAAAAATTTTTTCAACCTTTTACCCTGAGAATGATGTTGACTGTGGTTTTGTTGCATATGATCTTTCTTGTAATGAGCTATGTTCCTTCTATACACAATTTGTTGAGTGTTTTTATCATGAAAGGGTGTTATTCTTTGTTAAATGCTTTTTGTGTATCTTTTGAGATAAGATTTTTATCTTTCACTCTGTGTATGTGTTGTATCACATTTATTGATTTGTGTATGTTGAACCATCCTTACATCCCAGGGACAAATCCTACTTTGTTGTGGTGAATGATCCTTTTAATGTGCTGTTGAATTGGGTTTGCTAATATTTGGTTGAGAATTTTTCATTTGTATTCATCAGGGCTATTGATCTGTAATTTTCTTTTCTTGTAGTATACTTATCTGGCTTTGGTATCAGGGTAATTCTGGCCTCATAAAACAAGTTGGAGGGTATTCCCTCCTGTTTAATTTTTTGGAAGAGTTTGAGAAGGATTGCTATTAGTTCTTCTATAAATGTTTGGGTGCGGGTGGGGGGTGCCTGGGTGGCTCAAAATCAGTTGAGCATCTGGCTTTGGCTCACAGTTCATGGGTTCGAGTTCCGCAGCAGGCTTCGTGCTGACAGCTTAGAGCATGGAGCCTGCTTGGGATTCTGTGTCTCCCTCCCTCTCTCTGCCCCTCCCCGACTCACGCACACACACGCGTGCTCGCTTTCTCAAAGAAAATAAACATTAAAAAATTTTTTTTAATAAAAAAATAAATGGTGGCATTCACCAGTGAAACCATCTGGTCCTGGACTTTTCTGTTTGGGGAGGCTTTTGATTACTGGTTCAGTCCCCTTACTCAGTATTGGTCTATTTAGATTTTCTCTTTCTTGCTGATTCAGTCTTGGTATGGTGTATATTTTTCAGACTTTGTTCATTTCTTCTAGGTTATCCAGCTTGTTGGTGTATAATTATACGTAGTAGCCTCTCATGATCCTTCCTATTTCTATGGTATCACTTGTAATGTCTCCTCTTTCATTTCTGATTTTATTTTTTTGAGTCTTCTATTTTTCTGAATTAGTATAATAAAGGTTTGTCCATTTTGTTTATCTTTTCATAAAGCCGGCTCTTAGGGGCGCCTGGGTGGCTCAGTCAGTTAAGCGTCCGACTTTGGCTCAGGTCATGATCTCACAGTTGGTGAGTTCAAGCCCTGCGTCGGGCTCTGTGCTGACAGCTAGCTCAGAGCCTGGAGCCTGCTTCTCATTCTGTGTCTCCCTCTCTCTCTGACCCTCCCCTGCTCACATTGCCTCTCTCTCTCTCTCAGAAATAAAACACTTAAAAAAATGTTTAAAAAGAAGCCGGCTCTTAGTTTTCAGTGTTTTTTTAAAATTGTTTTTATGGTTAGGTTCTCTTGTTTTAACTTTGAGAGCAGAAAAGTTCGTTTGTCAGAGGTGTACCCTTTGCAAATGAAAAAGATAAGTGGGATTACTCCTGTTTTAGTAGTTTCTATAATAGGGTCTGTCCTTTAATTTTCAAAAGCCTTGGCTCTTTTAAAGTGGGAGTAAGGAGGATTTAAAAAAATGACCCTTTGTGACTGACTCCCACTACCAGTGTCATGGGAAAAGCCAAGATCAGTGTTTTTCAGATTTTGGACCACAGCTGCAAAAGAAAATACATGTTACGTTAGGATCCAGTAAACACCTGTAAACACAACTGAAAGCTCTAAGGACTAATACTTAACTCTAATCATGCCACAGTGCACTTTAATGCATTCTGTTGTGGTTCATTCTATTTGTAGTCCATTGCAGGATTGTTTGATTTTATTTTGTATTGGTTTTTAATGCTGGTCCCACCCACTAAAGGGTCGTAACGCTGACTTGTGGATAGTTGTGGGAGAGGGGAGCAGCAGAGGGGCTCAATGCCGCCCCACCCCCTGCAGTCTTCACGCCTCCACCCTGCGCTTATGTTCATTCTTGGTTTCCCCAGAAATGTTACTCCCAGCTTTCCATGTGACCACATCTTTGTTCTACACACACTGCCACTTTGTTTGCTGGCCTTGCCATGCAGTCTTTACTCTGGGCACTGATTGGGTGATGGCTCAATGGCCTTCAGATATCCAAAAGAAACCCCCACCCCCTTCAGGCAAAAGAGGGAGGAGGGCTGAAATCAAAGTTTGTAGGAAGGGCTTGGCCTCCTTGGACAAGAACCCTGGGCAGTAGTGACGGCACCCTGTGGCTAAAGGAGAGAGATAGGAGTGTGCTAAGACCAGGGAGTCAAGTTCAGAATTAAGAGTCTCACTTACTTTTTTCTCCTGCCTCTTCTGCACAGGTAAATTCTACTGCAAACCACACTACTGTTATCGACTCTCTGGCTCCGCACAGAGGAAGAGACCAGCAGTGGCTCCTCTGTCTGGAAAGGTAATGGTCATCTATCTGTAAGTGGGGGAGAAGCAGCAGGAGCATTTCTGCACAATGACAGGTGAAGGTATGGCCAGCAAGGCCTGCCGAATGGCCACTAAATTGCCTTTCCTGTGGGTGGGAAGGGACTGAGAGACGGTCACACGCCATTTGGGGAGGAAACCAACTTTTCATGTATAATCTGATGTTGCATTTGACTAAGGTAATGTTCCATGCACCACCTGAGTTGGATTTGAGAGACTAGATTAGACCTCCCTCCTGCTCACTCTGTATAAAAGATTTTTGTCATTGTAAATAAGCATCTTTCTGAGAGAAGGACACCCTGAAAAGGAACGTGGCTGTAAATAATCTGCTCTGCTTGTCAGTTTCTTTCACTTTCTTTGTTCTGTGAATTATTTGCCAAAGTACCTTTTTTCCTTCTTTTTTTTTTTTTTTTAAAATGAGAGTAACTAGCTCCTCCACCTGTCTTTGTCAAGGTGAACCAGCTATTCTGTTTGTTGCATGATGTTACCTTGTCAGCATGCAGGCTAACATGTCCTTGAGAGGCTTTTGTTAATTGCAGAGGGACTTATGGGAAAAGGTAGATGTAGATTTTGACTCCTGGTGGTATCCACATGAAATACGTCCTGTGATACAGCCTGGATTGACTGGTGGGAGCAACAAACCAGCCAGGCAGGTGCCACTGCCTCCTAAGATTTGAGTGCTTCAGTCAGTCACTCTTCTTTTTCTTGCGGACTCTCCTAGGAGGCCAGAGAACCCCTGCAGGATGGCCCCACTGTGGACACAAATGGACGGGCCAGCGCCGTTCCCAGCCCTGCTGAGAGAACCCCAGGTAGCCTCACTTCCTTGTTTGGCTGGGTGGCGCGTCACTCTCTTGGCCTCTGTGACAAGGCCAAGGGGATGAGCCAGCACCTCCAAAGCAACATTTCTTCGATTGGGCATCAAGTGGCCCAAAACCCTTTGGACTCCTTTTTCATGTGCCAGCTGCTTGCATTTGGAGTCCCCTTTCTCTATGGCCTGTCGGAGGTGCTGGTACAAATCAGAGGGGAGTTTCACTGGCAGACCGTGAGCCAGTAGGGGCACCGTCCAGTAAGCGGGATCACCTGAGCCTCGGTAATGTCTTTTCAGAACCTCAGAGTATTTTGTTGCTATAGCCCTGGGGCCTGTCCACACCCATCAGACACACTGGGGTGGCTGGTCTAGGCCCCATCCAGGTAAACAGGAATTCAGAATAGGCTGCTTTTATCACTGACCCGAGTGAGAGTGTAGAATCGCAGGGCCTTCTTGTCTTGGACTCCTTTGACAGAGCATGGAATTGCAATAAGGCCCCGTGATCTGGATTTATGTTCATCTAAACTTGAAATTCTTGCATCCCCCTCCCTATTTAGGTATCTAGATAAGCTAACACTGCTCTTCTGTTTGACCTGCAACCCACTAAAGGACATGCCCTGTCCTGATCACTTTTGGGCATTTGAACTTCTAATGAGAACCAAGCCCTAATTTGTTCCATTTCCACTAATCATTTCCTTGTGTCGGGAGGTGAATGACACTGTCTCTACCTCTAAAAAACACATTTATTCTGGTTTTAACTCATGGGCTCATGGACATTAGGTTTGTTGTGAAGAACTGTAGTTTTTTCCTTAAAATTGCCTCTCTCTGCTACATGTCAAGCCAGCCTGTGAGATGTGTGCCACAGACTGTTGGGTAGTCCAATACCTTCATTGCGGCTGCAGACTAGACATAGCCCAGGATCATTGTGTAGGTGAGAGAGCAAGTCAACAGGGCCATATTTCTAGATCTCACACTTTTTCTATCTTTTACAACAGATATGTCTCAAGAAGCCATTTACAAACTCATGAAAATTACCATATAAAAACTAAAGATTATCAGCTAATGCTAGAAACTATGGAGAAGGTGTTGGTAGTGAAATTTCCAAATTGGAAAAGAGAAGAATTATCCACTCCACTGTCAAATGAGAAGTTTTTAGAGTTGCTTCTTTCCCTATGCTTAAGAACTAGAGAAAGGGAGAATGTGCCCAGAGGGGGCATGATTTAGAGGCCGAGACCCTGCAAACCCCAGCTAAGCTAGGGAAAATTCGGCCTCTCCTCCTGTGTGCCCTTCATATAATCCAGGGAAACTTTTTAAGTGCCCTGCCAATTGGACCAACATTTTATAGGAATGTTTAAGCCACAAATGACTTTGAAACCTTCTATAGCCTTGAAATCCTTTGTAATCTGTCTTTCCCCCTGAAAAGCTGGCAGCCTTTTGCAGTTGACACTCTCAGAGCACCAGCGGGGGGAGTGCTGGCAGAGAAAAATTACCACAGGGATCTAGACCGAGAAGTCAGCTCTGGGCCCTAGCATGTGCATGTGACCAGGTGAAAGCACCACCTCATCAGTCTAGGTAGCCCTCACCCAGCAGAGGTGGACTTTCCAAGGAACTTGGCTACCCAGTAGAATGACTCAAAGAAATGAGCTTGGTTTGGGGGTATCAAGTGCAGAACATTCTTTAAAAAGAAACACAATGAGGTTCAGGTCATTTCTGAACAAGCCAAATTTGTTCACTTTGCCATGTGGTTCACTTTACCATTCTTACTGTCTAGTGTGAAAGCATAATGGATCTCAGGTTCTTAGCAGTTCTAATGAATTAAAGGGTTCCATAGAGAAGGAGAAGAATATTCTACAAAGCAAAGAGATGAGAGTTGGCAATGTGAAGAAAGAATCCAAGCCCTGAGGATGTCTCAGCCCCTGTGGTTCTTGATTCTGAAGGTGACTTGCCTGTGCTAGCATGAGGGGTTTAAGATGTGACATCCCAAGGAATCACCACTTGAGCCCCTAAAATGAATGAGGCAGGCACTGTCCCCCGCTTTAAGGTACCCTCTAAGACAGCAGGAAGACCAGAGGTTAGGGCTGATGGGATTCGGTTAGTATCTGCTCCTAGAGACTTGGGCTTTTGGAAGTTACAGCTCTGAATTTGATCCAGAGCACCAGCACTTCCCCTGGGAGGTGTCTTAACCTTTGCTAGCCTCTGTAGAAAAGGAACGGAATTATGGGTGGTATTTTATAGTTGGTATGAAGTAGATTTCTTTCTTTCCTTTGATAGGGATATCTTTCTTTAAATCTCAAATGAAAGCTCACCTAGAATTTCCTTTTGAAAAGCTTCAGAAAAACTCAGGTATTTCAGGGTTCCAGAATATGTGTCATGGATAATGGTCATTAACCCAGACCATGGTACATCTCCTCTCTGGCACTCTAGACAAGAAGAGGCTATAAATGAATGAACTTGATTCCACTGTGTATAAATAAACCATCTTCCTAGATCCCCATCCCCCAGGAGGCAGAGCTGGAAAAGCTATGACTAGCACTTGACCTGCTGTGCTTTTTCTCTGTGCCACCTCTGTATTTGTGGCATTACCCTCTTTTCCCTTATGTTCTTTTCCCGTTATACCAAAATCACTGCTGTTGCCAAGAACCCAAACAACCCACAAGTTAAGAGAACCTGCTTTCAGCCTGCTTTGCAGTGTTGTCTTTCTTTGGTAACCTAATCTGTAACTGCTGCTCATTTAGTGTTTGGAAGAGGACACTGTTTACAGTACTGTTGTTTATAATGTGCTTTTAACATAGAAACCCTCTTTTCTGTTCCCAAAGTCTGTAAATGCTTTGTTTCCAAGCTTCTTATACTTAATAGGTTAGTGGCCCTGGCACAGATTTTCTTACCCTGGCCTCCAAGCACCTGCCCTGCCTTTAAGAAAAGTTGGGACAACAATAGGTAGAGAAAGAAAAACCCTAAATGAGTTATCTTCCCCTTAAATACAAGACCCTCAACTGCAGGTTTTTTGGATCCTTTCTTTGTTAGAGGAATCCCCTTTACAGTCCACATAGCATATAGAAGACAATCAAAAATGGATCATAAAGGCTATGGGAGTCACAAGGGAAGAGAAGAGCTTTTTCTAGTATAGATCACAGAGATGGGATAGAAAGGATGGTGTTAACTTTAAAAGCTGCCCAGCAGATTGCAAGTGGCGGGCGCCTGCTCCCTGTCCCTAGACAACCCTTCCATGATCACCATTAGATTCCATAGTTCAGATGCCACATGGGCCATTAGGAAATGCAGGCATTTCCCACTACAGCTAGAATAGCTATGCGGTACGAGGAATTCCATGCCCTCCTGGGGTTCCTGCCTATCGGGACGAAGTTAGGAAATCTCACTGCTTCCCAAGCCCCCTTCCCCTATAGGCATTTCTGGGAAACCTCTTAATAAGAGCAAAGAGAATCTTACAGACCAGCTGAACTCCGCAACCCTCCCCCAAGAGTCTTAGTTTGATGGTGATGTATGAATATTAATACATACAACACATGTATATTTATATAGGTTTAATTTCATACATACAAGTAGATATTTATATATTGTGTTATAAATAATAACAATAATGAAGCTGTTTCTGAAGCTTCTTATTCCTTGGTTCTGGAAATCAAGGGAGCTTTCAGATTGGGGAACCATACCACTGGCCTGGGTTACAGTTCTGGTCAGGATTTAGGGGAGCAGAGCAGCCAGCACACCTGTGGAGGTGGAGACTGGGGGTGGTGGGGGTGCGTGGGTATCTCAGAAAATGAGCAGCACACATTCCCAACCTCAGAAAGTCGATTCAGGAGCAGACTAGGAAAGCAGGGCTTCTGTTGCAAAAAAACACAGAGGACCAAACCCCCCCCACCTTACCTCTGTTTTGGTTCCAGGCTTGTAGATCAGTTACACTGGGTTAGTTATTGTAACTTCTCTGTTGTCTCTTGGTGTTTGGTGTGGACCGTTTTTCAGTCCCTCCTAAAGGGTCCTTACCATGGTCTTGAAGGCCTGACCAGTGAATTAAGGAGTTCCCTTTTTCCTGGGCCATTCAGCTTGGGGTGGAGGTAGGGGCGGATGGCAGCGAGCCGGGTTCCCACGGCAGTGGTACAGAGATGCCAGAGCAAGGGAGGACCAGCTGTGCCAAGGAACACATCACCTGTCCACTTCTGGCCTTCCCTAAAGTCTTTATTTTTGCCCTTGTTTTTAATCTGTGATGTGAGTTTTTAGTGTGTTTCTTTGTGAGTTTTTTAATTTCATTGTGTAACTTTGTTTTTGCCGTTACTGTGAAACTAAGGTGTTGTGCTTTTAATTTTTTTTTTTTTTAACAAATGTTACCATTCTTATTTAAGAGAATAAATTCCAAACAATCTTCAGGTTTCTGAGTTTTTCTTTTCCTTCCCTTTTTCCTGTTTGGAGGGTGGGAAAGGGGTTAGCTTCTCAGGTCTCAGGAGTGGGCCTGAAAGCCATTGTGCCTCGGGACTATCACTTCTCGGGTGGGGTCAGAAGAGAGTGTAGATGTATCAAAATGAGAAAACGGGGTGTTTATACCTAAAATATAGATTGTTGTTAACAGAAGGCCTCTGTTCACGGGAACTGGCATCGTGGAAGACATTTTGTTCTGTAGCAGCTGCAGATAGAAAGGAGCGAAAAGACTCCACCTGTGCCCCACATCCAGTCAGCCAGTGTGAGGGACCTGAGGGCCAGACCAGATGGAGGGATGAAAATGCACGCTGAGCCCATGTCTGCCGTGGGGACACAGAGCCAAGTGCCTGCCTTTTCTGTACCTGACTCTAGCACACTGCTGTGGGGAACAGGGGACAGTTATGGTTCTCTCCTCAGCTTTGTGGCTTTTGCCTAAGGCACAATGACCTCACTCCCGGTGATACTGAAGGTGCTTCTTCTGTTCTCCCCAGCTGTTCCCCCCAGAGATGTCTCTCTCGTGCTGTCCTTGCTGTGACCTGGACACTGAGCTAAGATATCCAGTTCTGCTTG